GATAGCAGTTGCGATCCCGACCGTCTCTCCCCAAAGGTCTCCATAATCAGATCCAGCACCTTATCTGGATCTGATTGGGTGGTTTTATCGTGGCATTTTACCTCTGCCCTGACCGTCTCTCCTATACTTCCCATCAGCAGTCTTAATCTTTCCTCTGGTGACATGCCTCTCGAGGCCCAGGCCGCTTTGACCTCTTCACTGAACCTGTTGGTTAACGTTGGATCGCCGTCCCCGTAAAATTTGTTAATGTGGGACTCACTGGGCAGGACCACAATATGGATCGGCTTTTTGTCCACATTTTGTCCTGGTCCATCTGGAGGCAAAGGGTCATCTTTACCGTTGCCTATCTTATCTGACTCAGATTGTTGGGCCAGCAGGAGTTTTTGTTCCTTTCCGATATCTAAAATATCACTCCCGCGTCTGCCACTCACACCAAGGAAAAATGTTGCAGCTATGCAGCAGATAGTGTTGCCCAAAAGGGAGATCATGACACATTTCCAGTGTCCAAGAGTTACATCCATCTCTTGGTTGCCATCTTTGCCCAGTATTTGTCCAACAACCCAGTTGGAGATACCAATGACAATTATCTGGATGCTGGTGGTCAGCCCCATAGCTGTCCCCAGGGTGGTTGGTGCTACAACTAGGGGTATACTGAGCCACATGCTTGCAGCAGCAAAAGAGCATGTGACACCAAGCCAGAATGATAATGAAAGGTGTCTCATCTCTGTTCTTTTCAATTTCCTCGATTCTGATTTCAGTTTTCCCTTTTATTTATTTCCTTCAAAATAAAAAAAGACGTTTCTTACCGTGTGTGTATGAAAAATTTTTCCTCGTTCCTCAATTTTCCCAGTTCCTGAATGTCCGAATTCACACACACACTAAACACAGTTATGCACAAGGTTGACTATAGGTGCCTTAAACGGCAAGTCTAGTTGAATTCACCCTGCTCGCAGCGCCAATTGTGACGAGCGAACATTTATCCTGCCGACAACGCCAATTGTAACGAGCCAACAGTTACCATGCTCGCAACGCCACATGTAATGAGACCTAATTGCCTGTAGTGCCACGTGTTAACGAGTTTAACCACTCATTCTAGACAACATTGACCACAGTATAGATACTCAAGATGCAGGTTCGCTATTGATCCTTTATTACATGAATCAAGAAATGCTTCATAATAACACAATAAATCAACAGGAATGCTTCTCAATAATAGTCTGAATCAACTGACCCCTAACAGTCCTTCACTAGGCTTTATATAACTGAATCCACATGTCTATAATCCTCCTTAACACAATACGGCTAACCCGTTCTATAACCGACTTGACATAGTCACACAGACTGACTGATCTAAGCGAGCGATGAAGATGGAAGAGAGCTCGCTGAAACGGGAAGAGAGAGAACGAGTCCTGCCGTGCCCTCCTATTTATGCCTTGTATCCGTACTCGTCTCCGTACTTGTATTCCTCCGTAATCGATACTTGTACTCGATCTCCGACCACCAGTTGCGTAGTTCAAACGTACAGACCGTAAAATAACATCTGCGTCCTATCCATCAAAGCCGACAGGCCGTCTGAATACCGTTTCCCAAAATAGCACGCGCCGGCTTTGAGGTTGTTATCAGCCCGACCCAATAAGCCACCTGTTATCGGTTGCATCAGACCAACACTGGGTCTCGGCTTCTCGTTCGTTATCATTTGTAACTGGTAGTTAGGCCTACCCCAGTTACATATATATATATATATATATATATATACCGAGGGGTCTAGGAGGGGTTATGACCCCCCCCCCTAACCCCCCCCCCCCTGCCTACGACACTGCTTCACATGTTGGTTGTAAAAGATTATTTTAGTTATCTAGAATTACTTGTTACTTACTAAAAAGAATTACTCAAAACAAGCAACTAAAATAAGAGTCTTTATTACCAACGTCAAAGCAGTACCTGCTATGAATAAGAGACATGGAGAGTAACAGACAACAGAAAAAAAGAATCCAAACTTTTAGAAATAGGTGTCTAAGAAGTTTATTCAAATAAAATAGCAACCAAAAATCAAAGGCGTAGCGCCCGGGGCGAACTATAAAATTTGCGCCACATGGACAAGAAAAGCGCCCCCCCCCCCCCCATTTTACTACTTACTATCCCATGAAGTCAAAAATTGAAAACAATTAAGTTAATCAGGAAAGCCAAGCAGTAGTCTATTTAAAAAAAAAAAAAACTTCGGCTGTGTATCATTCAGTAATGCAGCTCAGAATGAGGTTTTTTTCTTCATTATTTTATTTAACCCGTTTGGCGCCCCCCCCCCCTTAGGGTTGGCGCCCGGGGCGGCCGCCCCAACCCCCATCCCCTAGCTATGCCTCTGGCAAAAATTAGGGAGATATGTGGACAGGAATGGCAAATCAAGTATGAAAAATGGCGATAGATTAGGCACACGATTAGGAAGGGCGTGGGCAGTGCCGGCGCCAGGTTATTTAGCGCCCTAGACAAACCTTATTAGAACGCACCCCCCCTACCCGCAATTATTTTCCCGGGTCCCCATATCATATATTAATATAATATATACATACATATTATGTATGTACAATATATATATATATATATATATATATATATATATATATATATATATATATATATATATATATATATATATATATATATATATATATATATATATGGTGGCGTCGCTAGGTCGGGTGTCATCTGGTGCGGCACTTCTTGGTGTCACCCCCCAATATATATATATATATATATATATATATATATATATATATATATATATATATATATATATATATATATATATATATATATATATATATATATATATATGCTTTCATCACTGCAGATTTAACAGTAACAGTTGGATGTAACATTGTTTTCTCTATAGTTTGCACGTAATCGTCATGGTGTTACCCCACCCTCTTGTAATAATTTGTACTCTAATGACTATTTAACTTCAAGTAATCATATCATTAATCATGGGCCTAGCAAAAAAAGATTTTTCTTCTGTACATTTTGCAATTTTTTGCCTTGGTGTCACCCCCCCCCCTAAATGGTTCACACGGTGTAATCCGCCCCCCCCGCCCCGCCCTCGGTACATCTCTGTATATATATATATATATATATATATATATATATATATATATATATATATATATATATATATATATATATATATATATATATATATATATATATATATATATATATATATAATTCATATGCACACGCCGACCAACAGAGGGGCGTAAAACGTACTGAATCTCATACAATCGAAATAAAGAATGTTCAGGGCTACTTGGCATTACGGACTTCTTTAAAGTTTTCATGCATCAATTGTGTGACACCAACATAAAAAAGGCAAAGTAACTGGTAAACAGCACCATGACCTTTTCAAATGAGGGGGGGGGGGCATTTTCACCAACGCGAATAACTATTTATAGGCCTAATTTGAGAAGGGGCGCAAAGTTGATAGTTCGTCCTGAGCACAGTCATAAATCGCTAAGCCTTTGTATATTACAATTAGAGTATTACCCTGTCTATAGTTTATATAATATAATCAGTTGTTACTAATTAGGTACTTTTTAATAATGGCGATTACACATTTTTGTACCCCGCTATGGATAGCACCCTAGGCGACCGCCTAGTTCGCTTTATGGTTAGCGCCGTATGGGTCGACTCAGGATGACATGGCAACGTAGCGGGCTGGAAGAGGCTGAAAGGATATGAATAAATTTAGGAACATCTGAGAAGATTAGCAGGAGACCATGTAGGAACGAAAAGGAAAAATTAAACACCTTGGTAACTTATTAAGGCTAGGATTGAGACATACCGCAATCTGTTGGCCTGATATCATCCCTGGCTTTGATTTTCCGTATACCTACTTTTCTAAATTTTGGACATTTAGAATGGCTAGAAGAATAGTTGCACACTTAGCTAGAGCATTTTTTTCATTTCATAATTTCACAACTATTTCATGTGCGGATTTAACTAGTGATTTTCTATTAAAAAAAATAAAGCAATAGCTGAAATTTGTAAAAATAGCACCAATATGGGGTACATGTTTTCCGGAGGAGGTGGGAGGGGGGGGGTCTGGCTTGATTCCTAGAAATACGTCACACTCCTGTGGGGGGGGGGGGGGGGGTTGGGGGGGACATTTTGTCACGCTGTTGCATTTTTAAAAAAAAGTAATGTTAAAAGCTAAATGTTTAGCTGTTATTTCGTGTTTTTGGAAGCTGTTTTTGTAAATTGCGATTTGGCGCCCCGGGCTTTCCCGTGAGCGTATTGACGCCTATGTTCGGTTTAAACACTGCGGTAGACTAAGGATAAAACGGGGGTTATAGTCGTTCACTACATTGAATCAGGCGCGTTTGACGGCGCCCCGGCATGTTGCTATTTGGCGGGCTATCCCGTGAGCGCTATGGCACCGTATTATTAGAGGCGTAGCGACCCTTCCCGATGCCCGGGGACAAACTTTCGATTTACACCCCCCCCCCCTCAAACTTTCGATTTGCACCCCCCCCCCCTCAAACTTTCAATTTGTTTTTCCAACCTATTTGGCGCCCCCCCCCCCCCCCCCTACGGACAGAGTCCTAGGCGACCGATTTATTTTCAGAATTTAGAATTGAATAACAATAAAAATGAATCAAACTGTCGTAAATGTAATTTATTTAGCGCTACAATAGTTAAACATAAAAGTTTTGAATAGTTTTGAGTTCAAATAAGTAAGTAAGCCTAGATTCTATATGTAATTAAATTTACCACGTACTGCTTTTGTGTGTAGAGATCGGTATCATAATTAATGCTGTAATAGTAATAAAAATGCGAAAATAGCTAAAATAGATATGGATCAGAGACATGGAAAACAACAGAGCCAACAAAAATTAATGCTGTAATATTAATAAAAAAATGCGAAAAGAGTTACAATTGATATGAGTTGTGTATTCGGATATTCACGAAGATGACGTCAAATCTCGGTAATTTCCGTGTCGATAAAAAGCAACAAGAAAATAAAATGGCGACCCAGGACAGTAGTCCGTCGCTAATTATTGGTCAACAATGGTCAGCACTGGCGGACTTTATGTCTTCTAGCACAGAGAATGGTGAGAATAATGCACTAGTTATCTACTATTTTAACATTGCCATAACTAGTTGGAAACTTAAGTTGATATTATTACCCCAAAATACCCAATGTTTACACGGCTTGTTAGGACGGCTCCGCCGCGTTTACCAGGAATGGTTGAATGGAAATTGGAATAAAAGCCAAATTTAGAAATGATGTTCCAATGTTTGTATTTAAACTGCTAAAGAATACATTTTCTAAAAATTATTGATATTTTAAATGTTGCATTCTGCACTCTAATTTTTCAGAAGAAGAAGAAGGTGACAAGGATGGTAATAAAAATTCCAGTGATAGCATGAAACTTTCAAGACAAGGTAAGCACAAAAGAAAGTCATCCTACTTCAAAGCCAACAAACAAAAAGAAAAGAAATTTTAAAAAGGATTTTATTTAAGTCAAACTCATTAGCACATTTATTTAAATTTGCTCCAATCATGGGCCTTTAAAACTAACATTAGGGCATAAGTAAGCCTAAAGTCCTAAACTGAATGTTTCATTTTCTAGATTCAGAATTTAGATTCTAGACTAGATCTAGAGATAGATCTAGATTCTAGACTGGATGTTTTTTTAGTAATTTCATATAGATCTAGTCTAGTCTAGATCTAGATCTAGATTTAGCTTTACTCTAGAGTTTTCTACTTAAGATTTTAACTCAGTACAATGTCAGTATTTCTAGAAATGATTTTAAGACAACCTTAATTAAAGTAATTAGATTTAAAAACATAGCCTTGTTCAAATAAATCAAGTAGCCCTCATGAGCTACATTTGTTTTACATTGTTGCACAAAATGTTTTACAATTAAGTATTTTTTAGATACTATGTCAATTTAACTATAGCATATGAACTATGATTTGGGTCTTTTAAATTTGATGTTAAATTATATTTCTCATCTTTGCAGACATGGGTCTTTTTGGTTTCTGTCCATCAAGGGATGAATTCAGCCTGGTTGTTTGTGAGAAGTGTAACCTTTTGGTGAAGCCCCAAGCTCTTAAAAATCATATTGGTTTGTTGTTTTTTTTTTTTTAATTTATTACTAACGATACCCCATGAGTTGATTAAAAAGTATTTTAGCATATTTCAGTGGAATAATTCATTTAGGTGTTTTGAAATTAGTATTATAAAAATGAATCATTGGTCCAAGGTTGTAAGTAATGAATTACAATTAAGCCAGCTTAGTTTTCCAGAAATGCTCAATGTGTTGTTTGTATACCAATCCATGATATTCAGTCCAAAACATTTATACATTTTTTTGGTAGTAATTTTTAATTTCCTATTTTACTGTATGTTAAAGCATAACAATCTTTTAGTTTTTATGTGTATAACAAAATATATAATATCAGCAGTTTGCATTTTAACTTTTTTTGTCACATTTTGAAATTAGAATCTCGCCATGGACCCACAAATCTCAGCAGTCTGGGCAATATTCCAGCATCTGCTCTTAACTCTGAACTTGGTAAAAAGTTACTTATGCCATTGCCATCCAAAACCTCTGCTCCGCCACCACCACCGACTACAAAATCAGGAAATAGGTCCACAGGAGGTATATTTAAACCAGTCAGCTCTGGGCGACCTCCTACAAAAGCAAGCTTAAAGCAAGTGCCTGCTTCTATGAAAAACATTTCAGCCCCTCATGTTGGGGTTAGTATGAAAATAAGTCCTCTCAAATCTGTTAAGCCAGGAAATAGGATAGCACCAGCGACCACGGCTTCAACAGCTATTTCCAATCCAGTTGTTAAGGTAGAGAAACTAGAAAAGGTGGCAAGTGTGCCAACATCATTGTCTGAAACAAGCTTAGAAGAAACATCTGGATCTGCATCAGATCTCTCAAGCAGTGTTGTTAGTATAGTGGACACATCGAAGATTTCTACTTTAATGAATGGCTCAATAAAGTCTGCTGTATCACTAACAACACCATCTTCGGTGGCAATAACCACTTCACCTTCTATTATCTCAACTCCTACTTTGATTGCTGTTACAAAATCTTGGACTGACACACCATTAAGTACACGAAGTGTGACAACTTTTGTTACAACGACAGTAGGAACTAAGCCTCTTATGATAGCACCTGTGATGACAATTGGTTCAGCTGGTGCTCTAGCAGCAAGACCAATCACAAGTGCTAAGAGTTCTAAGGCTGGAAAAGACCAAAAGGAGCGCAAATTTTTACCATGTAAAGGTAGTAATTCCATTATGTATGTTTATTAACTTGATTGATTAAAATAGTTTTGTTTTTTAAAAGCCACATTGTTAACAAAAATGATAAGTATATTGAATAAAGGAAATTTTTTGCTTAGCAATATGGTTATAAACATTAAGTAGCTGTTATTATTTGAAACACTGATTCATCCTTTTCAGATCGTGAATATGATGCTGACAAGCACTGTGGGGTTAAGGTATCAGAGACTGGGAAGCCTTGTACTCGTTCTCTTACCTGCAAGGTAATCTGTTGTTTGCTTTTCTAACTTCAGCACTGTTGTGAGAATGTGAACCTAATAATGTTGTATGTTAAACTTTCAGACACATGCATTGTCATTAAGAAGAGCAGTCCCAGGAAGAAGCAAATCCTTTGATGATCTTCTTAAAGAGCACAAGGCAGCTAAAGATGCACTTCTGAAAGCTAAAGCTGAAAGTCAGAATTCTGCAGCGAATGCAAACCGTGTTTCACCTGGAGCTGCCAATGCTACGTTAAAACAGCAAGCATCTCCTGGAATGAGCTCAGGGAATATAAAATTGAGTCACACTAGTGCAGTAACTGTAGCAATGTCTAAACCTACAGTACCTTCCACTGGAATTCCTGCTAATACCACTTTTGCCAAACCTAGAAATGTGTTTCAAAGGTAAAATAGGGCTTGTTTCTTTGACAATATAGATGCATCTGTGTTGCCATCAACTTTTTCAAAATGCCACTTGCTTTTGTGCTTTAAAGGAGTACCAAGATTGTTTTTAAAATTTTCAGATTTACCTCATCTGCTTTACTTCCTCCTGTTATAACTGTGAAAGAGGAGTCAGCTGTCAAACAGGAAACCACTGTTAGGGTTACATCTGGTGAACCAACACGCTCATCACTGGATAAAAAACCAGACCAGAGCTTCCTCTCTCATCACCCTAAACCAATGGCTGTTAGTAGTATACAGTTTGAATATTCACACTTAACCACTTTTATTCATTACATGTCAGAACTGTTCAGAGTTGGAAACAATAGTTATTATTGCTTTTTACATGTTGCTGTTTTTTTTAATTCACAGGTTTGTCAGTTTGGTGGTCGGCTTAATGATAGAGGCTGTTTCTTGTTTTGTCGTAAAATGGATTATGTGAGAGCAGCTTTCCTCAGTGCTTTAGAGCGGCAGTTGAATCCTCCTCCACACAAGTAGGTTGCTTTTGTTTTATCATAGCTTTTTGTCAGGTGAGTTTTTATAGTTGTATAATGTTTACCAAAAAGTTTGCTGTAAGTTGTGGTAATGAGCTCCATGTCCATTGTAAAATAATAGTGATAAAACTTCAGAAACTAATGGTTACTTATTAGCTTGTTTTACAGTGAGGCAACAGTAAGATGTGGCCATGTTTAACAGTTAAATAATTTACTAATGGCAACTTTCCACTTTCAGGAAACTGTGTGTTGAATCTAATTTACCAAAGGAAGTTCAAGCTGTTAACAGTTCACATGACCCCTATGAATTTAATATGGTGGATGCTAGTGGCGCAGCATTCAACAGAAACTCAACACTGATCAATGTTGCCAAGCCAACCATCAAACCCAAATCAAATCTGGCCACCTCTCCCATGGCAGCTGCAGCAAATACATTGACTTTTACATCAGTTAATCTCTCACCTATATCAGTAGCTGCATCTCTATCATTGCCCTCATCCATCGCACTTACAGCTACCCCCTTATCAGTATCTTCAGTAACCCAATCCGGCCTTGCCCTAAACTGGTCTGTCAAGTCCAGAGATGTAGTGAATTCTCGTAGCCCATCAGCATCCCCTCTTCCTACCATTTCATCAACACAACTCACAAATCCTGGCAAGAGAAAACGAAGTGGAAGCAGTGGGGGCCCGAATGGCCAGCTCGTAGCTGTTGCTAGCAGCAATGGAGCGCTACCTGTAGCCCCATCTGTTACTTTTGCTGTCTCTGCCACCAACCTTACTGGTGCTATCTCACAACAGTCTAGTCTGACAGGTATACTCACGCCCAGTTTAAACAGTCATCACCATACTAGTAATTTGATAGCCATTCCAAATGTGAACTTGACAAACACCTACCTTGGTCAGCTCAACACTGGCACAGCTGCAGCAGCTAAACTCAACACGACAAACGCTGCCACCGTTTCAGGCTCAGCACATAAAAATAACAACATATTTAAAGACATTAACCTTGTACTCACTGGCATAGATTCATCTTCGTTGGTGAACGGACAGTTAGTCAACATAACAGGAGCTCAGTTGGCCGAGCTTGCAGCTAATCAAGGATCAACACTTTTCTTTAACAAAAATTTTACACCAAGCAGTTCCACCACATCCAGTACAACAGGCACCATCCCTGGAACTGTGAAACGTAACAGGAGTTCAGCCTCTAAGTCTCAACAGGTAGTGAATAAATCTGCCTCCAAGATCCCAGTTCTGGAGGGCTTCAAGTTGATTCCAAGTAGTAGTGTGATAACTTCAGCAGGCCTGCCAGCAAACGCAGTGCTTATGGACAGTGGAAGTTTACTGACTTCAGTGGCCTTAGCATCAGGGTGTAATACACCTACTTTAGTTGCAATAACCTCAACAGCCAATTCAGCCGCAGGCAATCCATCACAGCTTATTTGTGTGGTAATTTTTTTTTCATTTTGTCATTTCTGCTTGATAAGTTTATATGTAGTATTAAATGTTCATCTATTGACTGTCAGAATGGTAATTAGCGACTCATTTTTTCAGGATTCTTCATCAAACCAGATAACAAGTTCCACATTTGTGAACGGCTTAGGACAAACATATGGTAAGAAAGATCAATAGTGAGAATTACTATAAAATGTTTTTAATGTAATTAGGTATTGACAGATTTAATGCTCAATATTTGGAACCAAAATTCTGTTACTACCATAACTCAGCTCACCTGCTTAAAGCATAGATTTCAGTCAACACAGGTTAAAGAAAAATGCTGTTTTCATATGTTGATCATCTTTAGATTTTTGAATAACATTTTTCTTTTTCACATGCACTTAACATTTTTAATTATTAAATTATTATGCATAGGCCTAATCAAAATTTGGAAATAATTTGAGTGGTAAGTTAGTATTTTAGTTACACAAAAAAATGTCATTTGTTTCAGCTGTCTTATTTTACTCCAACTTAGCATTTATGTCACTCACTATTCCTTTTTTAAAACAATCATTTGAATAGTCGACAAAGGTCACATGACATAATTTTGTGAGTAATAATGGGAACAGTTTTAATTATGTATTGATGCAGCATTTTTGCAAAAATATGTTTTCACAACATTTTTCTTATTTATTTATTTAATGTATTTTGACCACAGATAAATCGGGCAACAGTCAGCGTCATCACACTTCTGCTTCTAAACCCCATCATCACAACCAACACAACAAAGCTCAACAACAAAGTATTTCCTTAAGTAACATGTTACAAGCCAACTCCTCATCTATAGCAGTGCCACTCCCCTCAGGCTCTGGAGCTCAGCTCTGTTCTAGCCAAGCCATATTAAAACCAGGAGGGACTTTTAACTTGAGCAAAGGAGTGTCCTTGACTTTTCCAATCAGTGTCAGCCAAGCAAGTCTGGCTGCTCTGACTGCTGCCAGCAAACCTCCACAGCTCCAGCAACAGCAGCAGCAGCAGCATACGCTTCTTGTCACCACCAGTGGAGGAGCTTCAAGCGATGTGGATGCAACTGCAGTCCGCGTGTCTGCTAAATCTGATCTTCATTTACAGTCCCAGCTTTCCAGTTCTTCTGCAGGAAATCTCATATCTTAGCAACGAATTTAAAAAAAAAAATATCCACTTGCAATGAAGGATAAACTCTAGCTCTGAGAGGACGAAAAAAACCAAAGAATATCCATCTTGTGACAACTTGTGGCCCAGATGTCTTTCAGTTGGTAATTGTGTTTGTGTACTGATTCCTGGAGCTGTATAAGTTGAGTCTTCACAGTAGTAGTGACACAGTCAGTAACTATCAGAGGTTGATGTTTGGCTTGTATCAGTTTTCTTGCACCCATGGAGTTAAGTGCTGCAATAGGATGTTGTTATTTAGTGCCATTCTAACCTACTGCTGCTACAGGTACAATACATCCATTGTGTTTAAATATATACTTGTCCCATTACTAAATAGACAGAGCTGACATAATATGTACTGTATAAATCTGTTGCAATGTTTGACACCATATGGTTTTAGTAACATAACAATGAAGATAAACAGTTATTTATATTAAGCAATTCTTTATTTCCATTTTCTGTGGTTATTTAATTTATTAACATATGACTTCTCTAATTTATTGATCATCGAAGCCTAAACCACTTTTGCAGACTAAGGATTTATGCATTCATTGCCCATGTTCTTGGCTGACAAGATGAACAAAATGCTAGGCTGATCTTGTTGGACATTTTATTATTACACAATTTTAGGTGGAAATACTCTAACTGGAAGCATTTTGGTTGGATAAGTCGTGTAACAGACAACTGTAGAAGCGCTTGAAGTTTAGAAAATTATATTCTTATAATATCCTTTCTTAAGAATTGTGTTATATATGATGGATCTCTCTTTTTTTTCTGTTTCTTTAGCAATATATCTAGTGTAAAAATTTGGGAAAGTAAATGGCCATAATCTTATACAGATTTTTGGTAAAGAATTATAAATAATGACAGCAACTTAATTTACATTACAAAAAAAGTATCTTCAGTTGCAAGTCGTGGTTAAATATAGTCATTACCCTGGAAAAACCGCTAACCTTGTTAGAAATAAACCCTAACAAGTAAGCAGGAATTGGTTTTACAGACCTTGCTTGCATTGTTGCTGAAGCTCAAACAAAAATGCATAATTTAAAATTGAATTATTCAATAGAAATTTTCTTAAATATAAAACAATACAAGCTTTACTTGAAACGACAGAAGTAGGTTGGTTATAATTAGAAGCTTTTCACTTGTAAAGTTGTTGGTTTTGTTCTGTCTGACTGAGCTGTGCTCAAAAACCATTTGACTTTCTACTGGCTATATTTCCCATTAATGTTGGTAGGTTTTTTTTTTTTATTTTGTATATTATCTCGAGGTTTCCTATATGTGATATTAGTTTGTAAAACTAACGTTTTGTTATGTATACATGAAAAAATTCCATCTTAATTGAGTGAGTTAAAACTTTCGCCTATACATTACTATTGGTGCTAAATAATAGATTTGTATGCTCCCTGATTTTGTTGTGTCTTTATTTTATCATCTTTAATGACTAGTTATGAGCTTTAATTTTTATCAAACAAATAGGTCTGATTATTTGTGTGCTAGTTGTATACTTTTATTTTCCTTCACTCTCGCTGTACGAGTCTAAGAATTCTATGCATTCAAACATATCATTCTCAAACAACTCTTTTCACGTAACATATCATTATATCCCAGCATTCATTGCTGTGGTGTTCAGCACTAGTAGTACTGTGATTTTAACTCTAGACTATGTAATAATTAACATCCTTATGTACTTTTAACAGCATCAATTTGAATAGATAGACTATTTATTAGTTGTGTTTAAAATAGCATTGTATTTTTGCTGGGTGTTTCTTGTAAACTATATACTAATGTATTATAATTCTTATATTTTACCATTTCTTTACTTTCAAAAAGAATCAGCTATGTAGCTATTAATCAGTTTTTTAAAGAATTTTTTTTATTAATAACTTCTACATTTCCATGAGTTTTCTTTTAAAAAAGTAGTTTTTGAGTAATTTTAGTAGAACTTCTATACTTAAACCTTATTTATTCTGGGAATCTTCAAAAGTTATTAGTTTTTCTAAACAATGGAAATTGGATAATGCTTCTTAATATCCTATATTAAAAAAATCCTTAGAAATTTACAAAAACCGGCTAAGCTCATTAATATGTCAATATTCAAAAGTATATATATATATATATGTATGTAAGTATGTATGAGCAAATATTTTAAAAGTTTAATTATCAAAATATAACCTATTTTTAACATCCTGAGGGGGGTCTGAGGCATGTACTAAAGCTAACATCTCCAGTAACTGTAGTTGGCTACAAAGTTGACTTCTTCTAAAGTCACAGTTTACAATATGAAATGTCCCAAAAAAAACAACACATACTCTTCTCTGAAAGAATTTCTTATTCTTACCTACTGCATCCTAAGTTTTCTGTGTCTATTTAGAAGGTTATGAGCCCCTTTGAAACTTGAGAGTATTCAGTCCTTCTAGTCATAAATGATAAACTGCTTTAAGTGTTATTTTAATCCATTTTTCGTTCTATGTAAACAAAAAAAAACCAACTTGTTTGCTCATTTAGAATAATTAAACACTATGCTGTTGAAGTTAGATTTTCATGCACTGGCCTGCTAAACTTTAGTTAATCTTTACAAAAATGAATAAGTTTTTAAAATGTCTTTTTTTTTTTTTTTCTGCTAGTCAGTGTTAAACTAATGGAAAGCCATATTTCTGTATATTTTTTTTTCTAACAGAATCATTAGCTGTTGTACATGATTCAAATAAATACTACTACAACATAGTAAGTTCCACTTAAAATAAATGAAGAGGATAGACAACATAACTTTCTGTACTTCTTTATCTTTTTCCCTTGAAAAGAAAATTTTAAATTGAGTTATTAATAGAAAACATCTTTACATGTATACTTATCAATAATATACTTACACTTAATACAAAAAGTGAAATGAGACCTTTAAAAATGTGTATTCTATGCATTATGTACAGTAAAAATGTCTTTTTCCCCTTATATTTCTTCTTATTAGACTGATTTTTATTGGCAGCTCCTTTTGTATCTGCTAGTTTACTGACATGCATCAGCTGAAGGAGATGGTTAGCCTCTAAACAAAGTACAGGAATTAACCAAGTCATAAGAACATAATTTTTTTATATGTGCAATGTCTGCTCCATTTCTTGAATGATTTCTTGCTCAAATGTTGTCAGTTATTTGTAGATGTAGACTTAGCCGGTATAATCTGTTAATTTAAAATTAATGAATCTCTGGTGCAGTTGTTTGGACTGTAAAGAATTAAAAATGACAACAAATAAGAAAATATATATCTATATTTTGTAAAGAATGTTTTGTCTTTTGTACCCAAGCATTTCAATTTCAGTAATGAGAAAATGCTGTTTTGTTTTCAGTGATTGTTTAACTGAGATGAGTCATTTAAAAATGACTCTACTAAAACATGCTGTCATCAAGTTAATAGTCACCTTGACAGATAAATCCTGCCCAAGTACTTAATGATATGTTTAAAAATAGCAGCATTTGTCTTATTGTTTACATTAGAATGGGCTGAGGCTTATAACAAGTTGAAGTTACTGATCAGAGTTGTTAGCCTAGTGTGGTAACTAGATCTATACAGATGCACATTTGGCTTTAGGAGGGGAGGGGGGCAGTAAACTTCAGCATTTTGAACAAATATGTGTATTTGAATGTGTACTTGTATGATTTATTAATTGGAAAAACCCTTTGAACACAATTTTTTGATGTTTCGAACTAGATTGTATTTTGAAAGGTTTCATTGTGTCAACTGGCTTTGCCATTAAAAGTTGTAAAATGGTGCATATGGTAACTTGTCATGCCTTGTTTATTCTAGATTTGTAAGCTCTGTAACATCTAAGGCACTTTTTTTCTCTACATCCTGTTAAAGTAAGTTGTGAAAAATTCTTTTCATTTCCAAACATCTGTTTTTATAATATAGCACATTCCCCTCTGGCCAACATTGGTCCTTTTATTGCTAGTACAAGTATTACTGCAAGATACAAAAACACATGTCCATACAGCAGTTGGTTAAAACACTAATTATCTCACATAAAGAAGCTTTGGGACAGTTATTTTCAGGTGTTATTTCTCTTAAATCCATTTATTTTGGCTTGGCTTGTTCACATTTAGAAAGGAAAAAAATAGCAGTAAATGCAGTTTTAAGTTGTGTAGGTTAGTGTTAGTCTGTCTTTATCATCTGTTTCTAGTCACTCAAGTAGTTCTGCTACTTACAATAGGATATGTTTAAATACAAACAACTGAACAAAACAGTCATGTATTCCTCATGCATACAGCTAAGGAAGTGTACTATTAGGGAAATACAGTCCCAACATTCTCTGAGCAAGTCTAGCTTAGATCAGAGATGTTAAAATATGTTTGACCTCTTCTACTTAACATGTTTGTCATCTGTGCAAATGTCTGTGATTTCTATTATTTCAATTTGCCTTTTGTTGACTGATGTTGTTTATATGTACATTGGAGATACCATGCTAAACATTTCAATCCATTGTAAAGATGTAAATGTTTGACGTATCATGACTGACATTAACAAATGGAACTGATTATCTCTTTCATAAAGAGATACTCTGTTGTGCTAACTATGTGATATTTTTGTGTATTATCAGGGAAGTTTTTCCTATGCTAATGCATTGATTAAAAAAACAAAATTGTATTATTACTCTGATGTAAATATGAAGCCTCTGCATGCCAAGTGTTATGATATTAGTGAAATTGCGCTCTCACTAGAAGAAATTGGATAATGGTTTCTTATTTTTGGCCACTTGCTTTGTAAATATTGTACATATTACCTTTTTTTATTATATTTCATTACATTCTTACACACATGTGTACAAACGTCCTTTTCTTATGTCATTTGTTATCATTACACATCACATCATTATTGAATTCTTTGAGGTGACATCTTTGAATTTATACATAAATAAAACATTGAAAAATATGAGATGGGTTTTTAAATTATTTTATTGCCTCAGTCTTGTAAATGTCAGCATGTTTTAAAGTCAGCCTTTTTTCCCATTAAAAATAAAATTACATTTAATTATTTATTTATTTAATTTGTAGCTTCTACTGTAGGCAACAGAAAGCAGAAGTTTGGTACTACTGAGAGTAAAATGTTTGAAAGTTTGACCTAAGATACATGAGATAGGTTGTCTCTCCCCAAAAGGAGGGAGACCATTCACAACAGATGTTGGCTGGACACCACAGTAGTTGACAAACAATGTATGTAAAGTTAGTAAACAAAATATTTGTTAGTAGTTCAAGGCCAGCAGAAATGAGACAAACCACAGAACATTTTACCTGATCTTCATCAACTGAAGATTTTTTACTTAAAAAAAATTAGCAATCATATAAGAGATATGTTGACATTTAATTTTAAAATGTGACATTGTATTTCAGCAAATTCAAGTTAGAACCTAGTTGTTTGTAGAAAAATGGAATGTTTTTGTAACCATCACAAACAGTACAATATGCAACATGAGCAGTTTTAAAACCATTGTTTTTTTTCCTTCTAATTTTGTTCTGATTAAATGGTAGATAAACTGTAAAAAATACAAGCATTTAAAAATATTTACAATGAGAAAAATTCCATAAAAATGTTTTATAATACAGTTCAGCAGTATCTGTACCACAGATTTGGTGGACCATCCCGGCAAGATGGACGGATGCATGGTAATATATTTACACAACATGTATTCTACAAACACAGCATTTTCACAGATTTTTAAAAACCACTTTCATTTTAAAAATATAGGCCTTCCTAAGTGTTGTAGCAAGTAACCATTAGCTTATATCATCACAGTCTTTCAAAATTTGCCTGAATCACTTTTTATGGGTTTTAATTTGTAGTATGGATGTAAAATGACACATTTTTTGATGTGGTACGAGACCTCAATCATAAACCTGTACAAAATTTTGTTTTTAAAATATTTTTTTCCATTTTGACTATAGTTTGTTCCATACTCTAGTTTGTTCCAGTTTTTTTAAAGGCAATATGAAAACTTGATTTAGAGATCGGTGAAATGTGACTCTGTATTTTAAATTTGTCAAAAAATGAAAGTTGTCATGAAACACAGACAAGAGCAGTTTTTTTGGCAGCAGGAAACAAATAAATAACCTGATAAACAGTATAGAAATTTGCCAAAATCTCCAATCCTTTCTGGTCTTAAAAAATTGGAATGGATATCGACTTTATATAAAAATTATTCTTGTAAAAAATAGAAATAACTATTTAAAAGAATAGTTGTTTTAAACAAAAAGATTGCTATATATCTACAAGCTTGTAAATATTTAGAAAATCACACAGTTCAATTATAATGTAAACACATCATCGGTAAAAAAAAAAAGCTTCAGTCTGTAAAGACACATTGACTAATTGTTTTGGCATACTTAATAATGTGAATTATTTTAAAAACATTTTTATTAATACTAAAAATCATAACAAGTTAGCATTATTTCAACATTTAAATTAGCTCAATGATTAAATCATTTAAAATGGTGGTGTTTTTAATAGATGTTAATAAGTGTATTTTTTCTTTATTTAAATGTTGCTAACAAATGTTGCTAACAAATGTTGCTAACAAGTGTTGCTAACAAATGTTGCTAACAAGTGTTGTTAAAATATTTTCTTCAGCTTTTAATAATCCCCAATGTGGCCTCTCCTATGCCATGACAGATGTCTGGTGTTGCAGGGAAAGTGAGGGGTGATTTACTTCCAGACTGGAGGGTCCTGGCGTGTCTGTCAGGTGAGGTACTGACAGGTGAGGTACTGACAGGTGAGGTACTGACAGGTGAGGTACTGACAGCAAAGTTTCTGAATTGATTTTGTTGGATGATGATGACGTCTGATTGTGTCCCGAGGAGTTAAGCCAAGGTCCGACTGTGTGTGACCTTTGAACCAAATCAGGAAGTGGTTGAGAGTAATGATTCCATGACACTAGAGAGAATGGAAATAAATGATTGTTTCTCTCCTCAGGCCTCAAGCTATGTATCGGGCGGTGGCTGAACTTGCTTCTGTTCATGTGATAAACACTGGAGAATAAAGAAAAGTTCAAACAAATCATGTCTAAACTATACCATAAGCCTGTTGTATGACCAGTATTCTCATAAAATATATTAGTAGAGTAGCCCCCCATATTACACAGGCTAACACCGCTCAACCCAGCCCATCTCCCAACCCAAACAAAAACAATTTAAATCACACAACACACACAAAATAAAAACAACCAAACCTAAAATTCTGGGATTTTAAACAGAAAACCATGATTTATAAAATTGGGATTTTGAGTCATTAATAATTAAACAGTTTACAACTGACTCAGAATTGTTTAATAAAATCTACATTTGTTTTGTTATTTAAAAAAAATTAGAAATGATTTTGTCCCACATACTTGAAATCTTGGCCTCTCAACTTCTTAAACTTTTCATGTTCATAGTTAAAGCATGGGACTTGATTTTTTGGGTTCTGGTAGGACTCAGGTCCATCTCCTGGCTTGTATCCATTAAACTCAGCTTTAAAGCCCGCAGGTATAGCTGGGCGGAGCTCAACTCCTTTCTGGCGAGCAACTGTGTCTACTAGAGGGTCATTCACGACAGCTAAAGGCGGAATCTCATTGGCATCTGATGCATATTTTTTTAGTTTCCTGAGCAGTCAAAGTATATTTTTAAGTTACCAATGAGCAATTCTCAAATTTAAATTTGGAAAGTGATATCTTAGGAAAAGAATATATTTGAAATAAGATTTTAAAAAACTGTTAGCATTGAATTAATAAATAGAATTTGTTCTATAAAAAATCTGTTTACTTAAAGTGCTGAGCCAACTTATTATGCCAGTTTATTATGATAAATATGATTTATATAAATTTTAAATCTCACATGACAGGATCTTTGAGCAGGCCCTTTAGACGATCTAACTGATTGCTGGACTTGAATCCTTGCATTGTCATCTCTGTTGCAGGCAGCACACGGTGACAATGGAACTCAACATCATCGACCACCAGACGAGATTTCCACTTGACATATTCCCTTCAAACAAGACAAGAAAAATCAGGCATCAAATATAGCTGATGAAAAACTAACAAATAAAATATAAGACGGAGAATGTTATTCAATATTTAAAATAGAACACTATGACATGAATGAGTGTGATGTACTTGAACCAAAAATCTTGTTTGTCATGAGCTTCTTGAAGCCAAGGCAGATTCATTGATATGTGCTCATGGTTGCCAAACCCAGGGGGTGGTTTGCTGTACAGTTCCAGGTCTTCATGTCTTTTAGACCAGGGGTAACGACCTCGGTCAATTGGGGATTTAAAGATATTTGAATGGAATGCATTTTCCATCCATTCCTGAAATTAAAAAGAAAAATATTCTCTATTAATTGTAAATATTTCACATTAATGTAGGAAGGAAATTTTCAGTAAAACATTGAACAAATTGATAACATTGTGTACATGAAAACACAACAAATCTACAACAATATGATATAGCTGATGTATAAAAACACAACAAATCTACAACAATACAATGTTGCTGATATACACAAACACACAACAAATCTACAACAATATGATGTTGCTGATATACACAAACACACAACAAATCTACAACAATATGATGTGGCTGATGTACAAAAACACACAACAAATCTACAACGATATCATGTACATGAACATACAACAAATCTCCAACAATATGTTGTTGTTAATGAACACAACAAATCTACAAAAATATGATGTGGCTGATGTACAAACAAATCTCCAACAATATGATGTAGCTGATGAACACACAACAAATCTCCAACAATATGTTGTAGTTGATGTACAAACAAATCTACAACGATATGATGTAGCTGTTGAACTCACAACAAAATGTAGCTGATGACTTTTTATTACCTCTCTGAGTTCCTCTACTCTAGCAGAGTTCGGACGTTGTGGGTGGACATTCATCTCCTTCATACTTTTCATCCCAGGAAAGATCCAGCCATTTTCTGTCCTCCACTTGGCTTTACTTGCAGCTTTTTGTTTCTTTTGCTCTTGTTCTAAATCAACTGGACACACCATGCCTGACAGGTATTCCTCATTGTATGCGTACCTGGAAAATGTTTACCTTTTACTATTAAAATGTGGTACTTTTTTATCACTAGTGAGTTAACTCAAGGTAAAGGAAAATAAAGGTGGTTGGATATAGTTTTGACAACATTATCCATTGATATGCCTAGGTCTCAGAAACAGGTGAACTCTACTTCACCTGCTACGTAGATTTGCCTGGCTCAAAAGTGTAACTTTACTCAAGTCAATTGAAGATGATATTTTTAAAACTGCTATATTAGATTTAAGTATGTAGATGGATGGGCCTAAATGATTAGTAGGCCTATATTGATGGATTCACCTAAACACATGCCCATATTTTTTTAATGCTATCTGCCACACAAAATGAAGGATGAAAGTCTTGTTTAAAAAGATGAAGGTATTGACCTAGCAGTGGGATCTTGCTTCATTAAATACTGCCTCAACTCTTCTGCTGCCAGTGCCCCACTGTTCAAGTGCTGGGTGCTGTAGTTGTATGCAGGGTCCACATTCACAGACAGCACCAGTTTCTTTTCCTTTCTAGCAGCACTGGCCAGACTTTTTTGGTGCACTTCATCCTGCAAGCAAAACCAAAAACTGGCAAGAATTCTCAAGGAACTGGAGCTGCTATTTATTCTCAAAGGTGTTATAAATAGTCATTAATGTTGCCAGATAATGATTTCATTTCAGTATACAGAATTCTGATTTCATATCTTAGTTTTTAGACATAAAACCACTGTTTGGCTAGTATATACAATGATCTGGGCATGCTAATGTGAATTATTTAGTCTACTCACACAAAAAATAGACTTACAATATTTTCCTGCAGGAAATCATGTGATTTTCTTTCAGCTTTGAGTTGCTCGATGTATTTTTGGTTGAAATTGTCAATTGGTGTCCAGGCTCGACTTGGATCAGGCTTGTAAGGTCTTTGGTGATAAAATGTTTCATCTGTTTTCTGCTGCACAGAGGAGTGCAAATCTACAAGAAAGGTCAAAGGTCAAATACTGTAAGAATAAGGTCTGGAATGATTGGAGGAGAGAAATCACATTGTGTCATGTTTGAAGACAAACAATATACTTGTGAAAGTAGACAGTGAAGGTGTACTTGTGAAAGTAGACAGTGAAGGTGTACTTGTGAAAGTAGACAGTGAAGGTGTACTTGTGAAAGTAGACAATAAAAGTGTACTTGTGAAAGTAGACAGTGAAGGTGTACTTGTGAAAGTAGACAGTGAAGGTGTACTTGTGAAAGTAGACAGTGAAGGTGTACTTGTGAAAGTAGACAGTGTAGGTGTACTTGTGAAAGTAGACAGTGAAGGTGTACTTGTGAAAGTAGACAGTGAAGGTGTACTTGTGAAAGTAGACAATAAAAGTGTACTTGTGAAAGTAGACAGTGAAGGTGTACTTGTGAAAGTAGACAATAAAAGTGTACTTGCCATCAAAATCTTTCTGTGTGAATGGCACACCAAACTCCCTACTCATTGACACAACCATTTCAGGTGTAGGGAAAAGATCACATTTAACAACCTCTGTCATTTTATTCACTTTACAGATCTGATCATGAAAATATGAATACTTAAAAACATGGAAGCTAAATTGATATGAATACAGAAAAGTTAATGTAACAATACATTGAAATGTTATTTATAATTTTTTAATTCAAGCTTTAGCAACTGAAGAGTGAAACCAGCCCAAAGGCTTTACACAAAGTTAGAACAAAATATTATGATCTTTTAGTCATTTTCATTGCTGGACAAGGTTAGAACAAAATATTATGATCTTTTAGTCATTTTCATTATTGGACTAAGAACAAAATATAATCTTTTAGCCATTTTAATTCCTGGGCATATTTTATTAATTTTTTAAAAATTTCACATTTGCCAAAAATTTTCAGGTGCATATTTACAATTGGCCAAGTGTTTATGATGGTTTATTTGTAGTGGTGTGTTTTTGATGTTTATTGTTTAATTCAAATCAGTCACCTGATCCAGCTTGATGAGAGCCTCAAAGCAGGGTTTAAACACCATGTCCCTAATGTAGAGCAGAGGCTGTTGGACTATCATACTTAAAGGTTCATGCAGTTTAATTCTGCACAAGTCAACATCCAACAGGCCATATAGCCGCTTACTAAAGCTCAAATTTGAATTATACAACACTTTAACATCTGTATAGAAAGAGTAAAAACATGATTGATTAATAAAGAATAAAAGCATCACTTAAAAAATTGGATGATAATTTTACTTTTTTATGGATTAATTTATAAGATAATTTAATATTTTAAAATCATTTTTAAAAATTCAAAATTATTTTTTGTTTACAAGTTCAATTAACGTTAATGCAAGCCAAAGGCAGAAACCTACCCAGTCCTTGTGGGAGAGTATCCCATATGACGCAGATAGCCTTATCTCTCAAACCTTCCAGGACAAAAATATGCCTTTCACCATCCAGGACATGAAATCCAGTCACAATGTCAAGGTCTAAGCTGCACTGCTGCACCCTGAAGAAATTCAAAAGTAAGATTTTCTTAGTTTAAAACAAGGCAATATTTTAATTTTCTTTTAAATTGTCATTGTTATAACAGTTCTACAATAATACTTACACTGAAAGCTTATATGTTGACAAGGCAGCATCAATCACATGCTGGGGCAGTGCATCCAGATCTAATGCTTTGGCATTGAAACTCATAATCAGAGTTTGCAAACTTTGCAGCATTTCAATATTATTGTAATCAAACTCATAAATAATCCTGCTAAAAGGACACTGAAAAGAAATTAATAAAACTGAAATTACAGATTTAACAGCTTAAACAATTTTATTGAGTAGGAATTCTTTTTGGAGTTACATTTTAATTTTGCTCAAGGTAGTAGACTAATTTTAATTATTTTATTTCAATTCCCCCATGAACATGGAAAATGAAGTGAATACTTTTCTGGACCACCAAAGAAAAGGTAACGATTTTTATCAATGTATCTATTAAATTATTTTTAGTGAAAAGTAATGAATTTAGACTGTTATTACTGCCATGGGTGCTCTAATGCAGCAATGTGTCTAAATGACAATACAATATAATTCTGTGTTGAGCTTGAAGTATAACCAAAATAAAACAATAATCAAGTTGAAATAATAATGTAACCATTGTTTTTGTGTGTGCTCTGACACAGTCATAAGAAATAGTAGAACTCATGACTTCCCCTCCCTGTCTATTGTATAATCCCCATTATATTATCTTAGTTTTATAAAGGAGATATCAGCTGGTCTCTTTTTGGTTTACTCTATTTTAATAGACTTGCAAAAGCTTTTGAATCACAATACATGTTATTTAGACTTACCCCTATAGAAGTAGGAATGTTTTGTAATCACATTGCATGTTATTTTGATTGCCTATAGAAGTAGAAATGTACAAGACTGACCTTTATAGAAGTAGGAATGTACTAGACTGACCTCTATAGAAGTAGGAATGTGTTCTTTAGCTGCCAGTGCAGCTGGTGTAATGAGGGCCTCTGCTAGTTCTATTTGCACCTTCAACATGGACCCATTTTCCAAGTAATGGCCAGCACTTAGTGGACGGTCAACTGAAAAATTTATAAACAATTTCTTCAGAACAACAGCAAGGACAACAAAATGTTGTAGGCAAATCAAATACTATATATTTTGTAAATTACTAATTGGTTGTTTTGATTAAAAAATTTAACTTGGTACTGTATATAGTTTTTTAAAAGAGATTACCTTATCATTTTATCTGAGATATTTAGTCTTTGAGATATTTTGTCATATAACCACATCTATTTTTAAGATGAATTCATTCATTACCTGGACCATCAACTGCTCCAGGAACTCCAATTAACTTTCCGGAATAATTTTTATCAGATCCTAGTATGTCTGGAAGAGGGCAGTTATGGATGGGAATCTTCAGTTCAAGGAAGCGATGGCCCAGAAGAAGCTCTGATAGGTCCAGCTTGGCTACCCCATAGGGATCCCAGGGTTTATCTCGACCAGAAAAAGGGTTGTGAAGTGTTCGCCTGCCTTAGGATGAAAAGAAAAGAAATATTGAAAAGACACCTGTTGTTTCTTTTAACCACAAAATATACCATTATACATTTGGTTGATACAAACTATTATTTATCTCCTTAAACCATAACAAAGTTTGTGTTAAAGCATAATAGCTGATATTAACTATTAATAATGTACTTAAGACATTACAAAGTTTGTTTTGATGTTACTATTGGGAGATAATCTATACTAAAAAAAAGTTAATTTATCAAGTAACTTCATACTTTCTACAGTTCCGACATTAGCAATTTTCTCATCTTCTAAATCATCTCCAAAGAGAGTTGGTTTCAGGGCGACAGCTTCAGGCTTACGGTCACGATCATGGAGTTCAATGATCATAGGAGGACCATTTAAATACTCTCTCAGTGCACATGGCTCCATCGTACCTATAATAACATTTTAAAAACAATATTTATTTAATTTAAAATAGCGTGAGGAAAAAGCTGAAAGGATAAGTTTTAAGTTTAAAAAAAAAATTCGACTTTGAGATTTATAGCAATCATCTAAAGAAACTTAGAAGTCTTGTCTTAAAATATATGGAAGAAAAGTAATGAAATATTTCAGATTCTATTGAAGAATAACAGACAAGTAAAGGTTTAAATTAATAGAGAAAAGATGAACTCTTTATGAAATATAGATTATAATTACTTTGACAATCTCTAGGTAGGTTGTTTATATAATACCTACCTAAGAGAACAATGTTAGTGTCCTCCCAGTAAATGTTCTTGTTCTGTTGCTTGCCAGATGTGTCATGCTCGGCTTCTTTAAAAAATTTGTAACGGCAATATGCAGGCTGACATCTATATAGAAAAATATAATAATATGTCATGTTTCTTTAAAAAATTTGTAACGGCAATATGCAGGCCGACATCTATATTAAAAAAAATATAATGAATGCAAACATTTTATCTTACATGTATAGATACACATTAGTACAAATTTAGGAATCATTTTAAATCTTTTTAAAGAAATTATTTATATTTTATTTATGAAGAGCTATTCACTTAGTTCTCAAATCCTCAAATGACAGAGGAGTATCAGGAAGGCAGGTAGCACTTTGTATCTTGATCATCATTGGGTTGAGCTCTTCTTTAATCTGAGCTGACAAAAGTGGGATGTTGACAGACACACCAAGAAACATGTCCTCGATACCAACTATTGGATTCTCTAGACGACTTGTAACAACCTTATGATCTAGAAAAAGGAGAGCTCAAATTTAACAGTGGGCAGTCTATCTATTTAAAAAATATTATGACTATTGCATATCATCAAAATGAAAATTATAATTACATAAAATTCACGTTTATGTATAATCTTCTTTGTTTAATTATCAGTATATTAAACATTGACAGTCAAATAAAATCTATACTAAAGACAGGATTAAGGGTACATAGATTAAATTAAAGAAAGGATTTGGGGCAGAGAGATTAAGATGGGATTAAGGATATAGAGATTATACTAAAGACAGGATTAAGGTTGCATATATTAAACCTAAGAAATGATTCAGGTCTACATGTCAAGGTCGTGACTCAGCAAATACCTGAAAAGAGATGAGCTAGCCTCAAGGGGATCATGCATAAACCATGTTTCTTTATGTTCTCTGCCAGTTGCTTGGCCAGTTCTGACTGCTGTTTCTTGGTATCTTTGTCCTCTTTAACAGCAGGTTTTCCTGAACACAAAAAATCACAGGTATAACCATCTGCACCATTAAAGACAAAAATCAGAAGTATTACCATCTGCACCATTAAAGATAAAAATCACAAGTATTACCATCTGCACCATTAAAGACAAAAATCAGAAATATTACCATCTGCACCATTAAAGACAAAAAATCACAAGTATTACCATCTGCACCATTAAAGACAAAAATCAGAAGTATTACCATCTGCACCATTGAAGAAAAAAATCACAAGTATTACCATCTGCACCATTAAAGACAAAAATCAGAAGTATAACCATCTGCACCATTAAAGACAAAAATCAGAAGTATTACCATCTGCACCATTAAAGACTAAAATCAGAGGTATTACCATCTGCACCATTAAAGACAAAAATCTCAAGTATTACCATCTGCACCATTAAAGACAAAAATCACAAGTATAACCATCTGCACCATTAAAGACAAAAATCAGAAGTATTACCATCTGCACCATTAAAGAAAAAAATCACAAGTATTACCATCTGAACCATTAAAGACAAAAATAACTTGAAATGACACCAGAAAAATAAAATAGACTATTTAACAAGACAAATTTACAACTTTATATAGTACACTATAATGACAAGATAACTAGATATAGAAAAAATATATTACAACATATTTATGTACACCACAAGAAAATGTACATGGAAACTTAACAACATAGGGAAGTTTTACACCAAAACATTTGACAAGAAAACCCTAATACAACATAAGGAAATGTAGAAAAACATAAACAACGTACAAGATAATTTACAACAAAAGTTTGTACAATCTAAAAAATTGGAATGACAATTTGACAAGACAATATTACCAGCTCCTGGTGCATTATTTTTCTTTTTCTTCTCAGGAGATGTCTTTCTGGGTGATCCTGCTAATTGGCTCAAATGATCAAAAGACCTGATGAATAAATTCTTGAATTAGTTGAAGTTGAGATCTGTATTTTTTAAACAAACTTCAAACATTAGTTCAACAAATAAACACAGTGCATGATTTATGATCAGATAAATGCTGCAATATTTAGAAACAGGTTGTGGAGACAAACTTACTTTCCTGTCAGTTTCTCTTTAGTTGGAACAGCCACCAATTGTTTGGTGTTTGCAGAGGGGGCAATTTGATTAGCTGTGTCCTGAGCTGTGTTTAGAATAGTTGTGTGAATATTTCAATTTTCCATAACATTTGATAATAAATATTTCAATTTTCCATAACATTTGATAATAAATATTTCAATTTTCCATAACATTTGATAATAAATATTTCAATTTTCCATAACATTTGATAATAAATATTTCAATTTTCCATAACATTTGATAATAAATATTTCAATTTTCCATAACATTTGATAATAAATATTTCAATTTTCCATAACATTTGATAATAAATATTTCAATTTTCCATAACATTTGATAATAAATATTTCAATTTTCCATAACATTTGATAATAAATATTTCAATTTTCCATAACATTTGATAATAAATATTTCAATTTTCCATAACATTTGATAATAAATATTTCAATTTTCCATAACATTTGATAATAAATATTTCAATTTTCCATAACATTTGATAATAAATATTTCAATTTTCCATAACATTTGATAATAAATATTTCAATTTTCCATAACATTTGATAATAAATATTTCAATTTTCCATAACATTTGAAAATAAATAAATAAATATTTCAATTTTCCATAACATTGGATAATAAATATTTCAATTTTCCATAACATTGGATAATAAATATTTCAATTTTCCATTTGATAATAAATATTTATTTCAATTTTCAATAACATTTGATAATAAATACACATTAATGTAAATATATGTAGTTTTGTGCACAGAGGTTTAAAAGTAAAAGAGGTTTTTTTAATCACATAATTGACATATTACTATAAGTATTTAAATGTGAAAATTTACTTGGCACTTTAAAAAGGGTTTGCCTAAATATAAATGTAATGAAAAACTAACCATGTTTTCTAAATGTTTAAATATAAATGTAATGAAAACCTAACCATGTTTTCTAAATGTTTAAACATAAATAATGAAAAACTAACCATGTTTTCTGAATGTTTAAATATAAATGTAATGAAAAACTAACCATGTTTTCTAATGTTTAAATATAAATGTAATGAAAAATTAACTATGTTTTCTAAATGTTTAAATATAAATGTAATGAAAAACTAACCATGTTTTCTAAATGTTTAAATATAAATATAATGAAAAACTAACCATGTTTTCTAAATGTTTAAATATAAATGTAATGAAAAACTAACCATGTTTTCTAATGTTTAAATATAAATGTAATGAAAAACTAACTATGTTTTCTAAATGTTTAAATATAAATATAATGAAAAACTAACCATGTTTTCTAATGTTTAAATATAAATGTAATGAAAAACTCACCATGTTTTCTAATGTAAACCAAATTTTGCAAGGACAACTGAGATGGCAGTGGTCTAATCACATTGCCCTTTCTGGGCTGTTGGTTCATAAAATTCTTCATCTGTCTGACCACCATGGCCTTCACACCACCAATATCTTCTGGCTTTTCCCCTGACACAGGGAAAAATAATTTAAATCATAAAAATCCTGATCGAATATATGAAAAAAAATGTGTTAACACATTAATAATTTTGTATCACCATTTGTTTTCCCTTATTTCAATTTAAGACACAAATAATGGTTGATAAAATCTAATGTCGTATAAATACCAATGTTTGTTATAAGATGGACATAATTAATTAATTGAAATCTAACTTCCTAATCAAAATTATCTTTCAATGTGAGTACATCTGAATTCCTCAAAACTCACCTTCTGATGGAGTACAACAGAATAGCTCAAAACTCACCTTCTGATGTGAGTAAACAGAATAGCTCAAAGTCTCTTTTTAATTTGAGTACAATGAAATACCTAAAAACCCACCGGCTATAGCCTATTGACACCAGAATGCCTCAAAACTTACCTGGTTTAATGATTTAACCTGTGGAAATCTGCATGCTTTAACCCTACCCTAGTTTAGCCTGAAGCCTCAAAACTGACCTGGTTTAGCCTGAGGAAGCCTGAAAGCCTTAAGACTGACCTGGTTTAGCCTGAGGAAGCCTGAAAGCCTTAAGACTGACCTGGTTTAGCCTGAGGAAGCCTGAAAGCCTTAAGACTGACCTGGTTTAGCCTGAGGAAGCCTGAAAGCCTTTGGTCGATCAAACCTGGCTCTTGAGGAACATTTCTCTTTGGAGTCCCAGACCCGCAGCTCTATGGTATGATGGAACATCTTCATGAGGATTTCACGGTTGACTTTCATTTTATGGCTGATTTAGAAAAATTAAGTTATTGTGTGATGGAACATCTTCATGAGGATTTCACGGTTGACTTTCATTTTATGGCTGATTTAGAAAAATTAAGTTATTGTGTGATGGAACATCTTCATGAGGATTTCACGGTTGACTTTCATTTTATGGCTTATTTAGAGAAATTAAGTTATTGTGATTGTGTTTTATTAATTACATTTTTTAGATAGTAAGCCTTGTGTGTATATTATATTGGTTTGTATGTTCATCTGTGCCAAAGACCCATGGGTCAGTGGCGTAGCCAGGATAGTCTCAAGGGGGGTTCTAATTTTTACCCAGGGACAAACTTTCGATTTGCACCCCCCCCCCCCTCAAACTTTCGATTTGCACCCCCCAACCCCCCTTCAAACTTTTGATTTGCACACCCCCTCAAACTTTCGATGTGCACCCCCCTCTCATACTTTTTCTATATACCGAGGGGTCTATGGGGGGGGGTTATGACCCACCCCTAACCCCCCCCCCCCCTGCCTACGCCACTGCCATGGGTCAACAGATGCTCTATCGACCTTTGCCCATCTCTGCCAAGAATTGGCAGTTCCCCCAAGATAGTCGTGCCAGAGTTAGTTGGTTTTTCGTCTGGACACCTTCATGCTTTCCTAGGTCTTCACTTTACGTAAATTATTTTGTATTGTGAGTTATTTTGTGTTAATAAGTGGGAGTGGACCTGGAAGAGTTTAGGATTTGTAACAACACAGGGGAGACAACTTTAATGTTGACTATGTGAAAATGGGGAGGAGGTAAAGTCTACCAATTGAAAAGTCATTGTAGTTTAAAAAGTAGCAAATACGCCCATCCCCTACCAGGTTGAGATGTTAAAAAAGATGTAAACAAAGTTTAAGCAACCAACCTGTGGGCCCAGGCGAACCAAGTGATGTCCCCTTCCTGCCAGGTTTTGACCACCTTCGCGTCGTGTTTCTCCATGAAAATCTTACACGCCACGCCGTAGGTGACCACGTCCGTTTTGAGCACATCCTCACCCCCGGGAACCAGAGAGTACTCCATGTGGTAGTAGTTCTGTGCACGGGGCGACTCCAGGGTCCGTTTCTGTAGCATGTCTTTTAAGTTGGTCTGGTCCTCATTATCTACAGTCAGTAAAAAGGCGAATCAGCGTGGCAGGATTTGGACACCGATTTCATGAACAATATGGCGGTAAGGGGTCCACAGTGCGCTGCTGGTGTATCCTAACGCATGTCAGTAACACAACAGACTTATCATCAGTAACAACAGACTTATCATCAGTAACAACAGACTTATCATCAGTAACAACAGACTTATCATCAGTAACAACAGACTTATCATCAGTAACAACAGACTTATCATCAGTAACAACAGACTTATCATCAGTAACAACAGACTTATCATCAGTAACAACAGACTTATCATCAGTAACAACAGACTTATCATCAGTAACAACAGACTTATCATCACTGACGTCTGTAGAATACCTGTATAAAGTCAGTAACATACTAACAGTGTCGGTAACTTACCTGTGGTAACAGTAACATAACAGTGGTGTCAGTAACATACCAGCAGTGTCGGTAATGTCAACAACATAATTATTATAAACTGATACATATCTGATCTTTATAATCTTTATAATAATTAATCTTTATGAACGCACCGTTTATTTAAGGCTCTGCTCTCTATACACGCACAACTGGCTACGAATGTCCAAAATACTTTAGGCGCACGTTTGTAGTTAATGAAACAAACACAAACCAAACTACATTTTAAATGATATTTTAAAAAAATAAAGAAGTCCAGTATATCTACAACAAAACTATACTTCCACGAAATAAAAAAGCGAAATAAAACAGCGATCTAAATCATAAAGCTGAATGAAAACAAAAAACAGAATACAAGCAACAGAAAGACAAGCAACAGAAAGACAACAGAAGACAAGCAACAGAAAGACAACAGAACACAAGCAACAGAATGACAACAGAAGACAAGCAACAGAAGACAAGCAACACAAGACAAGCAACAGAAAGACTACAACTAAAATGAAACTAAAATGAAAAAGGCTAGTCCGAGAGAGCGACTGTTCAAATACTGCCAATATTGGCCGATCCCAATAGGAATAGTGAGTAAAAATTACTGTAAACCTTCGATAAAAAGTAAACAAAAAATATTTTCTCTAATTGTCGGACAACTGCTTGTCATGGGTGGGCACTGTATTCAGACAAGTTATTACATTTTGTTGGAGTACAGTTAGAAGAATAGCATCTTTATCGTAAATTATGCAAGTGGGCGTGAAAAACAGCAGTTTTACCGTAAGGACGTCTAAGTATTGTACCGATATGAAAGATGCCAGGCGCCGATAGGGCGCACGTTCAAAGCACATTAGTCGGGAACAATAGAACAATAGAGCAGTCGGTGGGATAAAAGAAAATGGGGAGGGGGGGTCTATCGATTGCCGATCGGAGACATGGCGATCAGGACGATAAAATTACGTTCTATAGAACCACGTGGTCAAGGTGTCGTCGTGGCGATTATACAGTAAGACGCGGGCAGGGGAGGTAAGGCCGCCGCACTGAGTCAAAGATTAACGGCCCTTCTCGACCCACGCTGTACGGAGTGGAAAAATAAAGGGAGGTTACTTGCTCATTACTTCCATCCTCCGCCATTTCCGAGGTCATAAAACTACTGGAATCGAACTAAGGGAGTTAAATCGGATATAAAATTGTGTAACAAGCGGCTAACAACGTTAAAAAATAAAACCCAAGTGTTTTGGTGGAAAGGTGTGTTGTGGTGAGTTGGTGGAAAGGTGTGTGGTGGTGAGGTGTGTGATGGTGTTGATAGTGAGGTGTGTGATGGTGTTGATAGTGAGAAGGTGTGGTGTGGTGAGTTGTTGGAGAGGTGTGTTGTGGTGAGTTGGTGGAAAGGTGTGTGATGGTGTTGATAGTGAGATGTGTGGTGGTGAGTTGGTGGTGAGTTGGTGGAAAGGTGTGTGGTGGTGAGGTGTGTGAGGGTGTTGATAGTGATGTGTGTGGTGGTGAGTTGGTGGAAAGGTGTGTGGTGGTTAGGTGTGTGAGAGTGTTGATAGTGAGGTGTGTGGTGGTGAGTTGGTGGAAAGGTGTGTGGTCATGAGGTGTGTGATGGTGTTGATAGTGAGATTGTGGTGGTGAGTTAATGGAAAGGTGTGTTGTGGTGAGTTGGTAGAAATACTGTGTGGTAGCAACAACACTATACCATTCACAGACAACACCTTAACATAATATTTTAACATAAACCAACCACACTATAACACAACATCAAAATATGCACCATACACATAACAAAAAATATAATTATATATTTCAGCCATAACATAACATAACATTGTAACATCATACAACATCACAACGTACACCAACTACACTGAAACACAACATCACAACATACAACAACAACACCACGCAATATCAAATAATACACCAACTACACTGAAACACAACATCACAACATACAACACCACGCAATATCACATCATACACCAACTACACTGAAACACAACATCACAGCTTACACCAACTAAACTGAAACACAACATCAAAGCTTACACCAACTAAACTGAAACACAACATCACAGCATACACCATCTACACTGAAATACAACATCACAGCATACACCATCTACACTGAAATACAACATCACAGCATACACCATCTACACTGAAATACAACATCACAGCATACACCATCTACACTGAAATACAACATCATAACATACACCAACCACACCATAACATATCATAAAATACACGAACCACAACATCACAGCTTACAACAACTACACTGAAATACAACATCATTACGTACACCAACCACACCATAACACACCATCATACAATATTTCAGCCACACCAACAAGCGAGCACTAAACAACCGCACCATAACGTGCAGCAAAAGGCGCGTCACATGACCTGTGTATTACAAGCTCACCATTAAGCCTATGACCACACCAGCATGCATTTAATTCGCCTGGAGTTAGGGTGCATTACCTCCCCTTAATTGTCCCTATGTGATACAAGATACAAGAGTTGAAGCAGGGACAATTAGAGGAACGTGTGGCTCGGTCACATCAAACGTTGATAATAGCGTGAAATTATGAACAATTAAAAGGTGTTTTAAATATTGAATGAGTTATGTCGTGTGGGTGTGGGTGGGTGGGGATATTGGATAGGTTGGGCTGGGTCGGGGGATGTTTAATACATTGGATGGGCTGGGTCGGGGGATGTTTAATATATTGGATGGGCTGGGTCGGGGGATGTTTAATATATTGGATGGGCTGGGTCGGGGGATGTTTAATATATTGGATGGGCTGGGTCGGGGGATGTTTAATATATTGGATGGGCTGGGTCGGGGGATGTTTAATATATTGGATGGGCTGGGTCGGGGGATGTTTAATATATTGGATGGGCTGGGTCGGGGGATGTTTAATATATTGGATGGGCTGGGTCGGGGGATGTTTAATATATTGGATGGGCTGGGTCGGGGGATGTTTAATACATTGGATGGGCTGGGTCGGGGGATGTTTAATATATTGGATGGGCTGGGTCGGGGGATGTTTAATATATTGGATGGGCTGGGTCGGGGGATGTTTAATATATTGGATGGGCTGGGTCGGGGGATGTTTAATATATTGGATGGGCTGGGTCGGGGGATGTTTAATATATTGGATGGGCTGGGTCGGGGGATGTTTAATACATTGGATGGGCTGGGTCGGGGGATGTTTAATATATTGGATGGGCTGGGTCGGGGGATGTTTAATATATTGGATGGGCTGAATTCGTGAGCGGGGGGGGGTGTTTAATATATTGGATGGGCGGGGTCGGGGGTGTTTAATGGGAGCACCAATCAACAACACCTAATTAATGGCATCGTCGAGCAGGTACAGAAAGATGTCGACAGTTATTGCAGGCGTATTTGTCGAGTTAAGAGTCAGTCAATAGTTATATTATTTGTATAGTTTTTTCTTCCATTTCCCGTTCGTGCGCGAACAAAGAAACCAGCGCTGCCTTGTGAAAACGGGCACAGCACGGATGTAATAAAACCTAGCAGTCTAAAATATGGTAGAATACATCGCTGTTACTGAGTTAAGAGTCTCGTGTGTGGTTTCACAATACAAACGTGGAATATTCTCGAAAAATTCAAGAAGTCAAGCAAGGATCGATGGCTGGCATAAATTCACAAGCCTCAGAAATCAATCGATAACAGAATCTGCAGCTCAGATGAGGGTGATCAATAGCTCGTCTCATCGAAGGGAAATATTCGATTTTTTTCTTCCCAGCCCGACTGTTTGCGGGAGGCAAATGTCAGCTGCTGGTGTCATGTCACTGTAGCGCCTGATACTTGTCATTTAAGTAACCACCATGACATTCGTATGCAAATGACAAAAGCTTACACCAGGCTTGGCATGTTTCAGCTCAGTTGTGATGCAACACCAATGTCATTCAGTTATTTTCTTCTTGTCGTCTAGAAAAACCGAACTGTCATCCCAGACAAATGACATGCCACAATCAGACCTAAATGTCATCCCAGACAAATGATATACCACAGCCAGACCTAAATGTCACACCCAGACAAATGACATGCCACAGCCAGACCTAAATGTCACACCCAGACAAATGACATACCACAGCCAGACAAATGACATACCACAACCAGACCAAAATGTCACACCCAGACAAATGACATACCACAACCAGACCTAAATGTCACACCCAGACAAATGACATACCACAGCCAGACAAATGACATACCACAACCAGACCAAAATGTCACACCCAGACAAATGACATGCCACAGCCAGACCTAAATGTCACACCCAGACAAATGACATACCACAGCCAGACAAATGACATACCACAACCAGACCAAAATGTCACACCCAGACAAATGACATACCACAGCCAGACCAAAATGTCACACCCAGACAAATGACATACCACAGCCAGACCTAAATGTCACACCCAGACAAATGACATACCACAGCCAGACCTAAATGTCACACCCAGACAAATGACATGCCACAACCAGACCAAAATGTCATCCCAGACAAATGACATGCCACAACCAGACCTAAATGTCACCCCAGACAAATGACATGCCAACCAGACCAGAATGCCACTTAATGCCAGCCGTCAATTAGACACCAACGCGCTTCGATTTAGTCCGCTTCACGCATCGTTGAGCACGACAAAAGTTTTAAAAGTGAGCACAAAGCGACATTGGTTTACGACAGTTTGCAAATCAAATCCACTGCATGCCATCAGGAGCAGCCCATGATGAAAGGAACATTTGGTGTTTCGTCTTGGCTTTATATCGCCAGCATAGGCATTTCGCAAAGCATGATTTATCGTGAATATAAATAGCCACAATAGACAACAAGTCAGCCCATTCATAAAGGTAAAAGCTAAAATTACACCCCATTATTATTATACAATAGAATAAAGGAAAACAAAATGACACGTGACCAGTCAGCATCACGCGACCCAACAAAGACAAGATCATTACAAAGCTAAAAACGGAACAAGGGCCGTAATCGTGTGATGAATTAGACGGCGTCAAGGTCTGGAAGTAAAAACCAATGTTTGGGATCTGCCGTCACGATATGATGGCATACTCGATAGAATGACGTCATAATTCTTCCGTACGGTCTAGATAGGCCGACTGGGATTAGACTGAAAAATGGCGGTCACACGTTTGGACGTAAACCAAAACATACACGTGCATTCGTGGTAATGACTAAATCTGTTAGAGGATTGGCCTCACGATATCTCGTGTGGGTGGGGGTGAGAGGGGGGAGGCAAGTGTCGTATGGCAACGGGGATGTGGTGGGGGTGGCGAATGTTGTAGGAGGGGGCCAAGAACTACTGAGTATAATCAAGATATGCACGGAACTTTTTTTCCACAGGCATAAGTCTCAATGGGAGGGTTGTCTATTTGGGGAGTAATAACCTTAAAGACAATAAAATACTCAACAAACAAAAATAGACTGGCTGATAACCATCCTTACATTCTTTACAACGATGACGACTTAAAACGCTATGGTCATCTGGTCACTACAAAAGAACGGTGGGAAACAAAATGACATCAATAAACGGTAGTTTTACTTGTGACGTAATTGGAGCTCGTTGTGTTTCATTTCAAGGAATCTTTTTTAAATGGCGGCCTCAACATTTGGTTGCGAAATGTCGTTTTCCAGCTAGACCTTATCTGTAGGCCTTGATCTCTGATGAAGTGTCATTTTATTCATGTTCTTTTTATTAACGCCAGCGAAGTGTGACTACATTCACGCCAGCGAAGTGTGATTACATTTACGCCATCGAAGTGTGATTACATTTACGCCTGTGAAATGTGATTACATTTACGCCTGTGAAATGTGATTACATTCACACCAGCGAAGTGTGATTACATTCACGCCATCGAAGTGTGATTACATTCACGCCATCGAAGTGTGATTACATTCACGCCATCGAAGTGTGATTACATTCACGCCATCGAAGTGTGATTACATTTACGCCTGTGAAATGTGATTACATTTACGCCTGTGAAATGTGATTACATACACGCCAGCAACGTTTGATTACATTCACGCCAGCGAAGTGTGATTACATACACGCCAGCGAAGTGTGATTACATACACGCCAGCGAAGTGTGATTACATACACGCCAGCAAAGTTTGATTACACTCAAGCCAGTAAAGTGTGATTACACTCACGCCAGCAAAGTGTGATTACACTCACGCCGGCGACGGGTGCCGAAACCGTTGTTTATCGAACAGAGCCAAGGGGCATCACCACCAATTGCTAATTCCATGACGCTGTTTTCCAATGAATAATTGATCTGTGGCGTATGCCGGTAGGGTGAGACACGACGTTACCGTTAACCCTCTAGAAATCGGATAGACACTCCAACTCATGGATAATTAATATCTAGATGCCAGAGTTTAATGACGTATCAATTAAACGCGGAGCTGTAACTATTAATGACTGGGAGTGACAATAAAAAATTAATTGGTTTTAGCGAATTTTTACACAACGCGAAGGGGATTGGAGGGGGTGGGTGTTGTTTATCATTTAATGTGTTTACTGGGCTATGATAACAGAGTCAGAGCAATGATGCATGGCATTGCCTTTGATTCTCTTTATTCTTATTCTATTCCTGCTGTTTACAATAGTTGTATGAATAAGTTGACACTACTGGTTGTACTTTTTATCTATAAGACAGACTGCATAGCTTTGGAGCAGTTTTTAACAGATGCAAAGTCACTTTCATCTATAATGAAAATATTCCGACTGCTTGATTTGTAAATCACACAATTTTTGTTCTGGCAATTAGTCTTGTAGCTTGATCGGGTAACAGGGGTTAGGTTGTGAGGGGGGGGGGGGGACTTGAAATTATATATACTATAGAGGTGGCAGAAATAATGCAAAGCACATGCACACATTTAATTTAATAACATCGTTACAATACTTAGTTGATACTAAATTATATGTAAACAGTGCTTTCTCATACACACTACATACACCAAGATGAAGTGTGTCGATTTTTGTAGATTTCTACTACCTGTGTTAAACATATACTTAATAATTTTTAAATGTTGATATTTTTTTTAAACTCAAGAGATTCCATTGATAAATTGTAGTTGATCAGAGTATGCCTTCTACTGGGCTAGTGGTATTGGTAGATACAAATAAATGTACACATTTTTTTCCCATAGCAATAAAGGGGGAATATGATTAAAAGATGGGGAGAAGTAATTTTAAAACAAATGATTGGTGGACAATGTACACAAATGTTTCTATCCACTAAAATCCTCCCTCCCCTTTTTCTCCTCTATTGGTAGAATGGAAGAATTACTCAATTGTTTACATCTGATTGTTGAACAAAGGATTTGGTTGACTTATTTTAACACATTGCCCAATATTAATTAACAACACTTGCTCCAATAACAAAAGTTTAACTTGCAAGAAATCTTGTGTAATTCTAAACTAATTGGAACATATCGACTAGATTCAAGTTAGTAAAACTGATGATGAAACTAAGCAACAAAATTTGTTATTCTGTTTTTTTAAGCTTTGGTGAATTGTGCTCAGTATTACTGTAAGAAAGAAAAAAAAATGCATCTAATTGTTAACCTTCTAAACAGCATCTAATTGTTAACCTACCAACCGGATGTTGTACTATTATATACAATTAAATGTAAGTTAAAAATCTATGTAAGTATTTTAAACAAAAATGTTTTTAGGAGGGTTACATGCACAAACATATTACAAATATAGTATATGTCAATTAGCCCTACTAAACAATTTGTATAGCTTATAATTTCAACACTGACACTAACAACATTAGCTTTCACCCCAGTTACCCTAGTCTGTACCCTAAATCTAACCATAACAGTTTAAGTATTATGATCATTATATAAACTATACAAATGTAAGCAGGTAGGGCTAAGTATTAAGAACCACAAAAAGTGAATGGGGAAATGCCATCACCAAGTATAAAACTTCACATCACATTAAGTGCAGATGGTAAACTGTGTGCAATTGGTTATAGGTTGAAGTATACCTGTGTAAGTGGAACCTTGGTTATCATGGTCTTCAAGAACTGGTAAATATAATATATTTGTTGAGTCTTTAAGTAACAAAGTAGAGTTAAAAATTTTGTTTTCTAAATGTCCTCTTATTTGATCTCATCCTCATGCTTGTTGTAATAAATTTGTACAATTCAAACTATTTCTACAACTAAATAGATACTTTAAGATACTTATCATTGAATTTCGTATGAACTAAAATAGCTCCTAAATTTGTCTGGCTGTGATATAAATTAATTATAAAAAATGTCAATGAAGCAACTAACCTGTTGGGATGGCCATGGCTATGGTTACAGTAAACGTCACCTCATAACCATCATCCTCGACCAGGGAGGGAGTTCCATGCCTTTTCTTGGTTTTACTCTCAGAAATGATGTCTGTACTGTCCCCACTCTTTACATAATCCCCACTATCACTTTCAGTGGTGCCACTACTTTCCGTAGGGGTTGCTTCATCCATCTTGACCTACTCACTTTTTGCTGCTAGTGCAAATGGTGGGATGTCAAGTTATCATGACACAGCAGTTTTTAATTTCTCTGAAAATATATTTTAAAATGTTTTTTAAATGTAATAAAGTGACTTTAACGAGTACGATTTTAAAAGATTACTGTAACGCCAAGATGTTTACTAAAAAAACAACATAAGAACAGTGTTCTCGCATCTATTTTTAATGCGTCTAAAACTGAATTATTTTTTTCTGAATTCAATATTATTATTCAAATATGACTAGACAACTATCACATACACTGTAGGTGCACCTCTATGCTTTTATGTATTAAGATAAAATAGCCTAAATATAATTAACCTAATCATTAGTATATGGTAGGCTACACTATGAAGATTAAATAATATATATTTTAAATTCCAATTTGAGAATTTACTGTTTAAATAGTAAAACAGATGGGTAATCTATCGTTTTAGGTACGTAAAATAGCCCTCGACTAGTAATGTGAAAAAGAGGTGACTCCTTAAATTTTAATAATTATTTCACATTTTGAGGAGGATTTATGTTTTGAAAAATACAAAAATGTTTCCTTGTTTCATTTATGTACCTGTTTTTAAACAATTGGATTAAAACTTTTCAGTAATAAATGAAGACTAGCGATGTTTCCAACAGATGCAACCATGCTCATTTACTATAGCAGACATCTTGTTTAAGTCTGTTTTATTGCAAACTTGTAGCGCGAGATTCATGGGACGCCACTCTATTTTACAAATGGCTGCTGTTTATATAGCAAATCTTGCTCACAAACATTGCTGTTTAAAGTTGATTTCTGGCCTATATTGATCTATATTTAGCCATTGATTTAGGTTTATTATTCATTTATCTATAATATTTGACACACATATTTCACAATATACTTCTATTAAAGCCTTGACAATGAGGTAACTTTTTCGTACATTACTAGCCGCGGGCGATTTTACGTACCTAAAACGATTGATTACCAACAGATGACTTAGAGAAGTTTAATTTTCAGTTGAGCAAGGCTTAGATACTAAATAACTACACTAGATCTAGAAATTTTGTCTAAAAGCAAAACCAAAAGTCACAAAAGGCCTAAAAAGACAGCGGCCCTAAGGCTAAAGCCTAAACTTTGGCCTAAACTATTTTAAAATAATTTTGAACTTAAAGTTTAAAATTTTTTTATTAAAAAAGTTAGGCTGATAAAAAAGGGTTTTAAGTTTTTGAACCTTCATATTTAGTAATACTTATCCAATGTTCACTACTTGTTAAAACAATAAAGTGAATTAAAAAAAAACAACTTTACTAACCTGGACGAAAATTATGTCTTTAACCATGTTTCGCTCACTTAATAAACAAGTGACTGTCTTATGTCTAGTGAACGAATAGGTTTATCACCCCTGTTGCTACACAACAAATGGAGGTGTGTCATTTTGTACTGCTTCAACTGCAAACTCGCATAAGGTGTTAACCACTCAACGACTATACGAGTTGTCACGCAATCCTAAATCAGACTAAATCTTTGATAATAGATTAGTAATAATTAATGTACATTGTTTTTATTTTATTTTTTCAAATTATTGCATTTGCGCAGCGGAAAAAATGCATGGCAGCTGAAATACTTAGGTCCCCTAGACTATTTTTTTGCTTACATTTTTTGTTGCTTTAGACTTTAGTCAGTATGTTTTTTTTTTTTTTTTTTTTTTTTTTTTTTTTGCTTTTTACTTTCTCGTATATACGAAGTATAGAGAAAGTATTGTAATCGTGCAAAAAAAAAAAATCGACGTTTTACACCTCACTGATACGGAAAAACATAATTTTGCAATCTTGTCCGTATGTCTGTGTGTCTGTCTGTGTGTCTGTCTGTCTGTCTGTCCGTGTGTAAACACGATAACTTGAGTACCGTTACAGCTAGGTTGATGGAATTTCATATATAAGTATTTTATCAAAATCGTAGATCCGTATCAACTTTTGAGCGATTTCCGATAACCGGAAGTGGTACTTTTTCTACTTTGAATTTTTCAAAAGCCTATAACTTGAGTACTATTTCAGATAGATAAATGAAATTTCACATGTAAGTAAAAGATCTAATTCTCTACCTTCTGTTAAATTTTGAGTAATTTCCGTTGACCGGAAGTATTAATTTACGCTACTTCCGATTTCTCAAAAAACTAATGTAAATTTTTAAAGTACTAATAATATTGCGCACTGTTATGCACTTTTTGATTTGGTGTGCAATAAATTTGTCTACGAGATTTTATTCTATTTTTAAAACTTTAAGTATTTAAAATGGATTAAAAATCATGTCTATAGCCCGAGTTCCCTTCCCGTTATTTTATATAAGAATATTCGAGAAAGTTTAGGGGATATCACTCCCGGTTTATTTAAAGTAATGTTAAAAGCTGAATTTAGCTGTTTTTGCGTTTTTAAAGCTGTTTCTTTACAATGTATTAGAAATTGATCAATATAATCAATTATATAGGCTTACCTTTAAAAAAAAATATAAATTGCAATTTTGAGGGGGGGGGGGCTGGCTTTTTGTTTCGATAATCGATATGAGACGCTGGGGATGGGGAGGTTAATATCGCGACGTCATTTATTGATGACCACTAGGCCTAAATCCGAAAAAATAGACTAAGGTTAAGGCCTATCTTGAAGTTTGGGACCTTCCTACACCAGTTGAAGTTTGTGACCTTCCTACCACAAAAGTTTGAGACCTTCCTACACTAGAAGTTGTTTGGGACCTTCCTACACCAGTTGAAGTTTGTGACCTTCCTACCACAAAAGTTTGAGACCTTCCTACACTAGAAGTTGTTTGGGACCTTCCTACACCAGTTGAAGTTTGGGACCTTCCTACACCAGTAGAAGTTTGTGACCTTCCTACCACAAAAGTTTGAGACCTTCCTACACCAGAAGATGTTTGGGACCTTCCTACACCAGAAGATGTTTGGGACCTTCCTACACCAGAAGATGTTTGGAACCTTCCTACACCAGTTGAAGTTTGGGACCTTCCTACACCAGTTGAAGTTTGTGACCTTCCTACACCAGTAGAAGTTTGTGACCTTCCTACCCCAAAAGTTTGTGACCTTCCTACACCAGAAGATGTTTGGGACCTTCCTACACCAGAAGGTTGGGACCTTCCTACACCAGTTGAAGTTTGAAACCTACACCAGTTTTGACCATCTTACACAGTACAAATTTGGAACCCTCAAGATCTTACACAAGTAGGAGAATACAAACACATGATTACATTAAGTTGATTAAGAATACTGTTTATTGCACATAACATAGACACATTTTAAAAACTTGGAATTCAGGGAAAAAGAAATGATCTAAAAAAATTGAAACAAGAAACCAGGCTACACTTGATATAGGCCTAAACATGGTTTAACTTAAACTGACTAGAAAATTAAGGGAAAAAAAGTAGATGTCATAGATGAGGATATTTTGTTAGAATAATACAATTAGAATATGTTTTGCAGCTCTGTAAACAAAAGTTTAAGTTTTGTGGAAACAGATCTCTTACAAATGTAGAAAAAAACACCAAGCACATATTTTAAGGTTTTAGCAAACAGAAAAAATTTAACGTATTGTAAACCTATTAAAGCACAGTTCTTAAGACTTAACCAAGCTTTTTTGTCATTCCAAATTTAAGATACAACTTTTTTTTTGTGGTTCTAAATTTTAAAATCATGAATATTATGTGGGGCTACTTGAAAATACATGTTATTGTTACATCAATAAGAAAAACATTTTGCCAAACACAAAAAGAAAATACATTTTTTTTTGGTTTTCATATTATTAAAAAGTTTGCAAGAAAATCAAGATTACAATTTGTTACATAAAATATTTTTCCAAACCAAACATTTCTGCTTACATTTGATAATTTACAGTACATTTTAAAAAGTCAAACCATATTACCCAAACAACCCCAAAACAAATGCATATAATTTCTTAACAAAGTAAACAAAAAGATGGGCCATTAAATCTTCCTAACTAGAAGCAATTGTATATCCATCACATTGGTGCCAGTTAGGCCAGTAACAACTAAACCAGACCCATTCTCAACCATAGACAATAACGTGTGGGTGTCGTTCCCTTCCAAATAATCTTCAGCTCTTAAACCCAACTCTTCCAGGTGTGGTATGAAATCAAGGCCAACAACTCCGCCAGCTGCTGAAGTTGGGCCATCTTGCCCATCTGTTCCTGCTGACAAGAACACTGCACTGACTGAGGAGGTTAAGTCTTGTTGACCTTTGAACTTCCCGAACTGTGCATGCAACTCTACAGCTGCGGAGACAGCCATTTCCTGATTTCTGCCACCTTTTCCTGATCCCCTAACTGTGACAGTAGTTTCTCCACCAGCAACTAGACATAATCTTGGCGATTCTCGCTGTGAGATGATGTTTGAAATGTCAGAGAGAATGTCCTCCTTGATTCCATAATCTGCTATAAGTTTCCTCTCAAGTTGAACCAGAGTGTCAGTAGTGCTGGAACTCTGCATGCATACAGCAGTGTACAGAGCTAGATAAGCAAACATTGAGCCCACCTCCCTTGCTTCACCCTGCAACTCTGTTGTCAAAATTACAGGGTGATAACCCAGCTCTAAACTTTTCTGACTAGCAGCTTCACAAGCAATCTTGTTGGTGCCTATGAGGACATTTTGAACATGACCCCAGGGGTTAGAGTCACGGCTACTACCTGGGTCGGGAAGGTCTTGGTCTTTTGAAATGTTTCCACCAGCAGAAACAGATTTTTGCTTTTCTAACTTTCCCTGCAGGAGAGTTAAAACTGTTTGTGGCACAGAGGCTTCAACATTAAACCGTGAGAACAGTTCTAAAACCTCTTCTGGATGGGAGGTATCAGGAACAGTTGGACCACTTGCAATAAAATCCAGTGGATCCCCAATGACATCTGACAATATTAAAGATATAACCTGGGGATAAAATTGCCAAATTAATAATTTTAGTGGGATAATTTGTATAATTATCAATGTTTTTTAAACTAAATAACAAAATTAAAAACTTTGTGACTTCACCAAAGAAAAATGTCTAAATTATGAAATGTTTGTTTCTTGCTAACCTGAGCTGGCCAGGCCAGTTGAGCCAGACCTCCACCCTTGAGCAGATCAATCTGTTTCCTTACAGTGTTCAGGTGCCTGATGTCAGCCCCTGACCTGGACAATAATTTGGTAACATTTAGCATATCTTCCAGTGTAACGGGTGGCTCTGGGGCAGGCAAGAGAGCAGATCCACCACCTTACAAAAAGATTGATTAAATGACAGTCATGTCAAACTTCTTCAGTGCCAGGTCTGTTGAAAGTACATTTACTCTATGAGTTCTTTAAATTAAGCAGTTATTTTTTGACATTAAAAATGGCTTAGTTTATAAAACTACTAAAAGAAGGCATAGTGACTGAAGCAATTTAGAAAAATAGAACATTTAATTATCTATTTTAAAACTTAAAGAAATTATAAAATAAAATCCAAGGCTACAAGGAAGTTTTTGCACCATTTTCCTTTTTGACATTCATATTACTTAAATAATATAGCTATAGAGAGCTGATATAAATTCAGATATCTTAAATTAATATAAAACATTAATCAAAGTAATTTAAAATTAGGGGAGAAGCTTATTTTATATTTGGTGAGCTCACTGGATGGTGGCCATATGAAACTGGCTATACCTGATATAAGGACAACTAAGATGTCATCCTTGCCAACATTTTGTGCTATTTCTTTGATCTGCTGAGCACTCTCAAACGCTGCAGTGTCAGGCAAGTTGTTTGCTGCTCCTTCCATGACCAGAATATTTGAACTTGGCAACAAGGTCATGTCCCTGTTTGTCAAAAGTCAGAAAGTAATATAATTAACAAATATTATAGCAAGTTGCCAAACAGCAAAACTTTAACTCCACAGTTCTTAGTATGCGTTAAACATTTTACTAAAAGGAAAGTGATATGAGATTATTTTATAGCTAATTATTTAAATAAAAAATCAATATCAGAGACAATTAATTCTACAATCAATAAGTCATCTTGAATGACAATTATTATTATCCACTTTTTCTTGATTATTATTAAATGTGTCAAAAAGGACTTGAATGTGCTAGATAGACAGTAAGGTGAAATGATTCAAATTAGCTTGGACAATCCCAGAATGCTCTAAACTAGATCCTATCCAGGAGTTATATATTGTAATCATGAGACTGGAGCATAAATATATTGTACCTTATCAGATGATAAAAAAAACATTAACCCTTTTCCTTCCTGCCTTAGAGCCTCCTGTAAACCAACTGGTACACTGATTACGCCTCGTACAATGTGTTCACCAATGGTATCCTCTAAAGCTCGGGCCATCCCCAAAACAGCTTTACCAAAGCCAACAACATGCACGTTTTTGTTTAGTTTATATTTCCTGGAATCCACTTGAAGGATTGATGTTGTAGGATTGTAGGCGAGTTTCTGGTTAAACAAATTGAAGATACAGAACAAAATAAAAATGTATCAATTATAATTTTTGAATAGACTTTGTTTTCTTTATGAATATTGTCTCACCTTTTATTTTTAAAAATAGTAGAAAAAATATATAAATATAAAAGCATTAGAAAATGTCTACACTTTATTCAATAAACTTGTCACAGAGCAACAAAAGGTCTGTTAGTTTAATTGAAAATGTTCTACAATACATATAGTTCCCTTTCGACCTTAGCGGCCCATAGGACCAGTGAAGTATAATTCACCTATTTCTGCTAAGGAAAGTGTGGTCAGCACTATTCTCAGCTGCCTTTACTTTTCCTAAGATAAGACAGGTACCCATCAGAGTTAGGTGGACCCATCTAGCCAGGGACTCAAACTCGAGACTTTTGGTGCTGTTGAACCATTCCACCACGCCACCACTTTACAATACAGATGGCTACATTTAAATTTCTGATACAATAAGTTTTGGACATTGTAAAAAAAAACTTACATTTCTAATCATCTGAAGAGGTAAAACTGATGTTACAGCACAGGCAAACATTTCTTTAGCTTGCCTCAACAACTGAGTAGCTTCAATCTGCCATTTTGTTTTACTACTGACAGAAGTAAAAGAAGTTGCGTGGTCCTGCATCATCACTGTAGTGGCAGTAACACTCTGAAGTAGAACAAATTTACCACAGGGGTACCTGGTTGATTTATGGTGACTTGGTCTAGGCTGCTGGATATGTGTCAATGTGCTTGTGGTCCTCAGAAGATTTATTTTAGTCAATTTTTTTAGTGCTGTCAGTGACATGAGAGACATCTTTTCCACTAATGTTTACATGAATCCTAGCAATAGTTTTAGGTTTGTTGATTTGAGCACTTTACTTGAATTAACTTCTGCATTTTATTATAACTGACAGCTATAAAGAAAACAGGCTTAATTAACATGGTAAGCACAAACAGTTAAGTACACAAAAGACTTGATATTTGTATCATTGTATGTTAGCAAATGCCCATTACTTGTTCATCCAGAACCCATATTGGACCATGAGTGTGAAGAAATAGATTAGCATTAGATTTGGGGGATGGGGAAATGCTTTTACCAATATTAGCTACTTAACTGCTTAGGTCTACACATCAGAGTACATTATTTGGATGTCTAACACTATGGCGCCTACATTTGTTTTAAAGAGCACCCTACTCTGGGGATATGGTAAGCTAATGCAATCAATGACTATCCCAAATCAGGAGTAGAAGCTGTTTTCCCTTAATGCATTACTACACCATTCAGACTGCTATGAAACTTGGGACAATTGTTGAGTATGCTTGTAATGTGGGAACAGTCACCACAACACTCCCTTGGTTTTCAGGATGAAAAGTTTTTAAAATATTACAGGTAAGGGACTGTGCCCTTACAACTACATAAGCACCTGGGGTCTGCTGATTGGGGGTCAGGGGTACTACTTGAACCATCTTTTAAACAGCACCAAGGGTGTCCTCTTGTAGTTATGTGGTGCCTACATTTGTTTTCAGTACCCCACACTAGGCCTACTGCAATCAATGACACCTGGTGGCTCTGCAATCATGTAACCTGCGGCTCCCGAGAGCACATCTTGATGTCCCTGAAACCTGGGCAGTCACCAAGGGGTGTTTTTCCTTTTCTCGCGGAGAGTGATTAAGGTTCTCATACAGCACAACCTGGAGTGGCTCGGCACCCCAACAACTAAGATCCACACAATGTTATGTCGACATTGTTTACATTTAAATTAATAGAGTTTTAATCAACCCAAATTTTCTTATCTAATCAACAATAGCAAAAGTCTGACTTTGCAAATACTGTTTCAAAATTTTTTCAATAGGTAGATTTAGATCTACATCACAAAGAAAAATGCATCGATCTAGAGATCTAAAATCTAAGTGATATTCATCATATTGATAATGCCATATTTTAACGTTTTACATCTAGATTCTAGAGTCTAGACTAGAGATCTAGATCTAGATTTATTAATATTATAAATTAATTATTATTAATATTAGGCATATTAGGCCTATGGGCCTAATTATATTTTTTTATTTAATTATATTATTAATTTTTATTAACGTCACAATCAGTATCAGTAAAAAAATACAAGTGTTTGTGTAAATGAGTAGATCTACTTAACTAATGACAGTAATGTGTAACAATAAAAATGTCATGTTTTTTTAAAGGTTTGTTTACACTTTACACTAGTTTACACTACACTGACTTTGCACGAACAGCTGATGAGAACAGTGTGGATTATCTAGACTGTAGAATTTAGATTCTAGAATCTAGATCTAGATCGAAATAGAAGTAGAAATCTAAATCTAGACTAGATACAACTAAAATCTAGATTCACAATAAACATACTGAAACGCGCAGTGTCTATATTAGATCTAGAATCTAGATTCTATAATCTATATTGCTGGCCTACATTAAAAAGTACCTATTAAAAAGTACGAGCTGCCCCGCGGCGTAGCATACGTCGCTATTAAGTTTTAATTCCCATTTTTCAGTAATTCATAATTATTAATTTGTGAATTCGACACTACCAATGCTGTGACTGAAAATATTTTGCTTTAAAACACCATCAGTAGCTAGTGCGATTATCCTCACCCTCACTTTCCTCCCCCCCCCCCCCCCCGTGAAAGCAGCCGTCTGTGACGACAGTTTACAGGCGACAATGTAAAGACCAAGCAGAACATGTTATTATCTCCCCTTAATTTCAAATCGTTTAAAAATTAAATTATCTGATCCTAATAGAATAGCCGTCACTACGATTGTAACCAGCTCACCAGACTGGTGTGGGTGGTGGTGGTAGTGATATGGCCTGTTGAGCTTACGTCTTGGTGTCTCGCATGGTCCCAATGAAGAGAATGATATATGTAGATTATTGCGGCCAATTGCTGCATGTTGTTCTGAATTTCTAGGCATAGGCCTATCGTTTTTTCCCCATGGATTTTGGATTTGCTTCCATAGCCTTTGTCCAACCAAGAACAAACCACAAGGCAGCAGTTGTTTGATTTTGGAGTTGTCTTTCCTAGAAGAGTGGCTGTCCCCAGCTAACGAGCCTCATCTGCCCAGAACCACGACGACCCCTAACCTCTAATCAATAGGGCAGATTAAGTACAGTTAATGTTTCTTGATCCCGCCCAATTAAGAGAAGGTGAGATCAGCAAGGTGCCCAACCACTTTCCCTAATGTAATGTGTGCCAGGTACCCATCATAACTGGGTGGACTCAGAGATCTAAGATCCTAACTCAAGACCTTTGGGTTAGCAGTCATAAGCTCTATTAGTCAACTATACTGTCCCAGAATAAGTCTAGTTTTTATAAGTTGTCACTTAATTTGGTTTTAAAACAATTTGATTTTGTGTATTCTGTATTTGGGGATAGTTCTATCAACTACCAGCATCTAAAGCAAATATTCTCTCTAGACTTAATATTCTGGGTTCATAAATAAATGGAGGTTCAGTAACAATGCCTTCTATTCTTATTTACTTCATGAATGTCAGTATTTTGTTATCCACATAGTTCAGAAAAGAATACACCATGTATGTTATTTACATAAAAACTGTTGATAGACAACTCACATACTTTTGCATTCAGAAGAAAGAAATAATTACTATATTTGACACAACCAAAATAAGTTTAGCTGACTTTGATTACTATTTAATATATAAAAAAATATTTTCTATTGGATGACAACAAATTTGCTACCGTAATTGTAAGAAATCAAACAATAATAAAGTCCAGACATTTATCACGCGAACAATTATTACAGGTAACCAGAAAACTAGATGTAAAAGTTGATGCAGCATATAAAACTAAATATATGTTATAAATATATGATGTAAGAAATATAACAAAATATGGCTAGAGTGCACAATGGTGCAAATAAAAAATTCAATTTTATAATACAAAGATCATTGGGCTTTTTTTTTATTAAAAAAAAAATGAGATTCTGGAAAACTTAAAATAATGTCTCTATGAAATATGTATAATTACATTCGTTTTTTTTTTCAAATTGTTTTCATAGCAATTATGCTAAGTGAAATTTTCCAATTTTGAAAAAACATAACCCCAAATCCATATATAACATATCCATCATTCTGGTAGTATTAATACCCTGTATACATATTTAGATCTATATATAAATAATAGGTCTTTAAAAATGTGACTATTTTGTAGACCAACACTTGAAATCAAGGACAACTTGTGTGCACTGGTTAAACACATAAAAGGGAGCAGAATGTTTGAACAATTTTAAATTAAATAAATACTGAGTGGTTGCTGGCATAAGGAAACTTGCAGCTTTTTTCCACGAAAGATTAAAAAAGGCATTAAATGATATCAATCAACCAATAAATTATAATAAGTATATACAGATTTGTAGGCAACAATATTTAGAAAGAAAATATTCCTCAATGTTAATTTTTTAAACAAATACTTTGGTGTTAAGTTATATTTTAGCTGCTTTAGTTCAATAACATCAATGAAATGATAAAAAACCAAAAGAGATTTTAATTTTTTGTTTGTATCCTGTATACATATAAAATTATCTTTGATTGGTAAATATGCATTATGTTATCAAATAATTCATACTATCAGTTTAGCGATGTTTTATTTTATCTATAAATTCCATTTGTATTTCTTTTCTTTTGGCATTTGCACTATAAGTATTACAACATCCATAATATTAGTACCAGTTAGGTTTGTGCGTACAATATTTCCACCATTATTGACCTCTCTGAAGAATGTAAACGAGTCGTTATTAGCCAGATATTCTTTCATGCTGACTCCACTTTCTTCCACTTTGTCCAGGAGAGCCTGGTCGACCACAGCACCAGCCATTTCTGTGACGCCGTCATAGCCATCAGAGTCACAGCTCAAGAAGCACATGTGTGACTCTGTGACATTCATCTCTTTCACTCGGAACTCTTCTTGCATCTGTATGGCAGCTGCCAGTGCCGCCTCCATGTTTTTGCCGCCTATTCCAGTCCCCTTCACCTGAACATCAAGGTCTGCACCAGCAATCACACAGATGTCTTTGTTCATATTGTGAGCCTTGTTTACAGAGTTGCTGATGTGATTCATCCATTCTTTTCTTATACCACCAGCAACAAGTTCAAGTTCCAACATTGACAGCTCAGAATTGGGTTCTAAACCAGCTCTTCTGTGGAAACATTTGATTTTTATTTTATCAAAATAAAAACAATGCATTTGCAATGTTTAAATATATTGGTAATCTAAACATATGCAGAGACTACTGAGACCAACTCGACACAACCAGGAGGTTTTTTACTTAAACTTAAAGTTAGTTAAGCTTATAAGCCACCACTTATAGTAGATGGCAGATATTTTAAAAAATAAACTACTTCTAATCATGATGCTTTAAAAATCTATAGCCAACCTGTCATAGCAGATCATGATAAACTTTGAAAGTTTAGCAAAGAGAATACCAATTCTCCTGGCCTCTCCAGTCAACACTGTTGTCAGAATTAAAGGGAAGTAACCCAACTCAGAAGCTCTTGCAGCTGCAGCCTGGCAGGCAATGGAGTTGTTGCCCACAATAATGTTCTGAACATTCTGCCAGACCTTATCTCTTTCAGCCTTTGATTGGCCGTGGTCAAAGGCTGTTTGAGATTTGTTTACTTTAACTGATTTGGCCTCTTTTTCTAAATATTTTTTGACACTCTCTGGTATTTTATCAATGATGTCTAGCCTGTGTAAAATCTCTAAACAGTGATGTGGGGTAGGCTGGGATGAACATGTTGGACCACTAGCAACTAGATCTGCAGCATCTCCAATCACAGATGACAGAATAAGGGATAACACCTGCAATAGAAACAAGCCTAAAGTTAGAGCTACGGAAAAATATCCTTTCACTCATTTTTTCTTTTTAAATTTTGTGGTTTACTGAATTTACACAGAAATCGCCTCGCCCAAACAATCTAATATTGTGATTTTTTTCATTAGAGCAACAAAATTTTATTTATCCCAGTCATAGTTTCCATGGAATTTTTCCACCAAATCTAACAAGCCAACTATTTATTATTACCTATTATCAGTAGGAGAAATTCATAAACAACATTATTTCCAAAGATAAAAAATGATCATCAACAAACAGTAAAACAATCTAGCTATCTAGCCAATACTTAATCAAGGAGGAAAATAAACAAAATTACTTGAGCTGGTCTGGCTGCTAGTGCAAGACCTCCTCCTTTCAGGACCTCAATGTTTTTACGAATAGCATTTAATTCTGTAACCTTTGCTCCTTTTTGTAACAAGAGCTGAGTTGTCTGATTGAGTTCTTTCAGTGTTATTGGTGGTTCTGGCGATGGGCATAGGGTAGATCCTCCTCCTAAAGTTAAGATGTGTGTTCATTTATTAAACAATGTTCCTGAATTAATGTTTTTTGCTTCAACTAATAATTATCATAAAATTTCCCTGAAGTCTAATGATTTATAGAATAGACTATTTACCAGAACAGAGAACTATAAGTAAATCTGTTTTCACAAGATTGGACACAAGACGGTGGATAGCTTTTGATGCATTATGTCCTGTTTCATCAACCTCATTTTCACTGGAACCTTCATAGACATGAATTTTTGTACCTGCACCTAGAAACATCTCACTGTGAAAAAATTTATAACAGTTAAAGATACACAGAATTAATTCCGATGGTCTGTGATGCCAATCAAAATGAGTTTAGATGTGATAAACAACTGCTTACTTGCTGTGAGAGTTTTTAATCTCCTCTTGTAAACCTCTTGGTATGCTAATTATTCCTGTGACAACATGTTCACCCAGCATATCTTCTACCACTCTGGCCATTCCCAACACTGCATTACCAAAGCCAACAATGAAAACATTTCTGTTAATATTGTAAACTTTCTCTTGGACTTTAAGTGTGGATGTGATGCGATTGTACTGCAATACATTTTCAATCATTGCTTTTGGCCGTACCGCACGGATAGCAGTTTTAAATATATCAACAGCATCTGGCTTCAAATCTAAATCTTTGGCTTGGTCCTTGACATTTCGAACATTGTCTGTTTTGTCCAATGTTTTGATTGTAGAATATTTCTTGTTTATATCTAAAAAGGAACCAGCTAATGGCAGATTATGTTTTAACCCCAGACACCGGGAGGAAGTGATATGAAATCTTTGTACACATAATGAATGTGTAAATTTACAGACAATTCTACTAGTCACAATAGACTTTGATGAATACAGAACAGGAAGCATCTTTGCTGAAGACGAAATCATATTTTTCTCAGAGATTCTGAAAAAGTAAAAGATCTAAATGTCATAAAAAGCTCATTAAATTAAATGCATACATAAGTCTAGATCTTTGCAAATCTATTTAAGCCTACCTGTAGTATTACTATTAAATTATCTAGGTAGATTTTATTAGAAAATAGGCCTAATTTGATACTAAATATGGTATATATTTGTATATAGGCTAGACCTTATACTAAATACTTTACTAATAAATTAATTTAAATGACTATGCAGAGCGAACTCCCAAGGCCCTAGGCTCAACAGAGCAAATATGTATGCTTATGCGCAAGCATTCTTTGCGTATGACATTCAATTTTTTCACCGTTGTGAAATTCTCTACGTGTGCCAAGTGGTTGCGCATCAGTCAGCTTGATTTCGTGGCATGGGTTCAATTATTTTGAGCTCTTAGGCTTTTTTTCCTTATTTCACTTAGTAAATAAAAGCTGTTGTTCAATGTTTGAAGGGTTACAGGTTATTTTTAGGCTTTAGTGTTGCCATTAGAGGATTGCCTTTAAGACATAAGGGTTAGAATTAGGCATTAGATGCCTGAAAGAAACTCTGGTTAAGGAGGATTAAGGTTTGGCATTTGGGTAAATATACACATACCAAACCCTAATCCTCCTTACATCGAAAACATTGCCATGAAGGGAGGCAATTTTTCCCCACTGTGCAAGCGTAGTTTGTTCCAGCTAGAATCTGCCTAAATAAATTAAGCTTGAATGACTTTGCTGTAAAGGTAAAGTGTAAACAATAAGCAGATTCAAGCTTAAGTCAAGTGCTTTTGTAGGTCTACTAAGTCAATAGGCCTACTTTTTAATATTTTAATTGGCCTATTATTTTTAGATTATAAGTGTAATTACCGGATTGAAAATATTCTATTTAGTTGGCCTATAAACTTTACTATAATTAATAAATTAGGTTTAGGCCTAATAATAATATTAATATTACTTGAATTTCGGGATGGAATTTTGAATAGGCCTACTTACTTAAAACTTACTAATAGTAATACTAGAGTTTAGTAGATCTACTTACTCAACTTAGTACTTAAGTCGTCTTAGTCTTAAGTAAGTACTTACTACTTAAGTCTGAGAATCTAGGTCGGACTGTTGACTTGTTCAAGAAGGTTTCACTATTATTATATTACTGTTTATTAATATTTAAATTAATAAATTAATAAATTAGTATAGTATTTTAATTTAGGCACGTTTTTTTCCCCCTTGTCACCGCTTGAATGAGCTGGATGGGCTACCCAAGGAAAGTCAGCTTGGTTTGGCTAAGACTTTAAAATAGTATTATTAGGCTAGAGTCACTAGCCTAGGTTTAGTTGATCAACAAGAGAGGGAGGATTGTCAACACCACAACTTGCAAAAACAACACTAAAAAACAGCGTCAACACCCACACCCGGATTTATCCCGACCGATTTATAATTGTTACAAGAGTCATCAAGAGCCACAAACTACAAACACAACAATACAAAGTTACACATATTAAAAACAACAGTAAACTATGTCGTAGAACTAGATTTTTAGTAGACTCTAGACTCTAACTCTAAATACTCTAAATAAATACCTCGCAATTATTTTAAACTTGAGTCTGTATTTTTCCCACCCAGAAAGGAGCGAGAGATCTCTTGACCAAACTTCTTCATGACTACGAAAACCTTGAATGTTTTGTTCAGTTTTATTGCTCTTTAACCTTTTGCCTTTGCCTTATTGTTATTATACATATAAAAAGAGAAGGACCTGCTCAATAAAATATAATAAAGGAAACAATTAATAGTAAATTACAAATCGTAAATAAATAATAACTAGATCAAGATCTAGAAATAAGTTTACTTCTTAAAATCTCGAGCCTATCTACTACTAGACCTAGATCAATCTAGATCTAGATCTAGTATCTATGACTAGATCTAGATCTAATCTACGTCTAGAATCTAGGTAGATAGAACTAGCTAGACGTAGTAGTAGTAATACTAATAATTACTAATAATTATAATAATAGTATTTGATTTCGATTAACTCTTTTTAAAAAATGTAACAGATACTAGAATCTAGATCTAGATTTCTAGATCTAGATAATATTCTAGATCTAGATAATATTCTAGATCTAGATCTTCAATCTAGAGCTATATTCGAATTATGGTGCGGAATGAAAAAGCCTAAGCCTAAGTGTGCGGCATAAACTTGTTATTGACGTAGTCTTAGTTAGGGGGGGGGGGGTATGCCGCTTGCGCCACCCTAGGGTTCGTCCATAAATGACGTCACACTCGTAAAGGGGGGGGGGGAGTCCCGGAGAGGGTGGTCCGTAATTTTGTGACGAGGGGGAGGGGGTGTTCAGATGGTCTGACATCACACTTTTGAATTATAAAGACGCAATGCTAGAAAACTAATATTAGCCGTTATTTCGCGTTTTAGAAAAAACTGTTTTAATAAATTGTAATAAAAATTTATTAAAACAATCTAGACTATGTTGACAGCGTTCAGTCAAGATTTGGGAAAAATAGCGCTTTTTAAAGAAAAAAATTCATTTGCAATTTTGAGGGGGGGGGGGGAGGGGGTGTAGGTTAAGATGTGACGTCATTTTATATGGGGAGGGGGTCTGGCTTTTTGTGACGGAGGGGAGGGGGGAGGTGAAAATCGTCCAAAAAATCGTCAGAGGGGTGTAAAACATCGAGATTTGCAAAAATCTAGATTTTTTTCTGCGCTATTACAATACTTTCTCTATATTTGTATACGAGAAAGTAAAAATTAATTACACTTTTCAAACTGTATATATATATATATATATATATATATATATATATATATATATATATATATATATATATATATATATATATATATATATCTATAATATAATCGGGCTGAGCGTGTCCTTCCGTCCGTCATCGCTATAGATTTTGGGACTATAAAAGTAAACTACGCACCATGCTGTGCTTTTCAGTGCACCGCAGTGTCTTATTATAAGTAATTGAGTAGGGTTTGTTTATATAACGGCATAGAGCTATTTTATGATTTCCACTGTTTGTACAATTTAGCATAACGTAAAGAGAATATTAAATACACGCACATTGCTAAAACATGTTAAAAGGATCAATGTCAAATATCGTTTTCGTTAATATTCCCAGAAAGAGTGGATACATATTAATAACATAATAACAGTACGGTAGAAAAATCTAATTAAACTGCTTAGTAATTTTGCCAATGGAGGTAATTCAAAGATAAATTGAACTCACGCTAAAAATGTGAATGCAAAATCTGCAAGACGGAATAATTGTTGGAATAATATAATTAGCAAAATGTGAATGCAAATTATGCAGACGTGTTAGAGTACATTATTGTTGGAATATTATTATTAGCATTGATTGATAAAAGGCTATCTTTTATTTATTTTATTCACTGAATGTACTGTTTACTAATTATAATTTTTAATCAACTATTCTCCATTACTATATTAAGTCATCACGTTCATTAGGTGCGCAATGGTTTTAGTCATGAAACTTTATTGTAAATTTTTAAAAGTACTGAAAAAAATGCATGAATTTATAAAGTGCAATATGGTCGGTAAAACACGGATATTCTAAATACTGCCTTTAATTTATTTGCGGAAAAGCTAGGGGTTTTATAACAGAGGCGTAGCAAGAGGGGGGGGGGGAGGGTGGAAATCGAAAGTTTGAGGGAGGTGGGAGGGTGTAAATCGAAATTTTCCGCCGGCGCTCGGAAAGGGCGCGATTTGGCGCTACGGGATAGACTGTGAGCAATATGCCTTTATGATTACATTTAAATTGAGTTTATGTTGAGTGTTGTGTTTGTTTTTTCGTTTTTGTTTTTTCTTTGCGTTCGTTTGTGTTGTATTTAGTTTTGATCTGTTCCCAACTTGGTACATTTAAAAAAGATTTACCGTGTGTTGTGGTTGTGGCTGTGTTGTGGTTGTGGTTGTGTTGTGGTTGTGGTTGTGTTGTGGTTGTGGTTGTGTTGTGGTTGTTTTGTGGTTGTGTTGTGGTTGTGGTTGTGTTGTGGTTGTGTTGTGATTGTGTTGTGGTTGTAATGTGGTTGTGTTGTGGTTGTGGTTGTGTTTTGTTTGTGTTTGTGTTGTGTTTTTGTTTGTTTTGTTCTGTTCCAAAGTTGGTATATTTTAAAAAGATTTACCGTGGCGGAGCACGGGATGCAGCTAGTATATATATAAAGTGATTATGTGTGAAGATTTATGTATAACATTTTCAGTTGCCTTAAACTTAACACCCCTCTTGCCAAGTGGTACTACCCGTAGAGGTTTTTTTTTAAACATTGCAATGCATCGTAATGGTTATTTTTATAATGACAAACTGATACAGCTGCTAATACGTGTTGTAAACGTTGACTCTACTAGTCTATTACTGTTATGCTTAATTGCTGCATGAAAATACTCCTTGAGATTTACATATAGATGTGCCGACCAAAAATAATTTTTTCAACAAATATCATTGTTTAAAACTTTGAGTTTAAAAAGTTTCCAAAAAAAAAAGGCGCCACTTTGCTGAAAATGGCCAGAGGGGTAGCGGCCGCTCTCCCTGCCCCCCCCCCTCCGTACGCTACTGGTCGGGAGTCGTAATGATGGGGGCCATGTTGTCGAGAAACTAAATTACGGGGGCCTATTTGTCGGGAGCCTAATTGACTGGAGCCTTTTTGTCGGGAGCCTATATAACAGGAGCCTATTTGTCGAGAGCATAAATGACGGGAGATCTATTTGTCGGGAGCCTATATGATCAGTGTTTCTTCCAGACTTTTTTCTCCGGGGGGGGGGGGCACTTGAAATTTTCGGGCGGGGGGGGGGGGGCGGTAGACTTTCTTCGGGGGGGGGGGGGGGGGGCGGACACTGTTAAAAGTATATATTTTCTATATAAATTATATAAATTTCATTTCGTTGGGGAAGGGGGCGAAGAGATGCCTGGAAGAAACTCTGTATATGATGGGGTCTATATGTCGCTAGCGCTTTTGACGGTGTCAATTTGACGGGGCCGATTTGTCGGTGTCGTTTTGACGGGGCCATTTTGACGCTGCACGATCTAACACCGGATTGATGAGTAGATAAACGCGTGATGTACGATTGTGTAACAGTAAAACAAAAACCTTTACGAATAATAGTGACCAAGTAAAAATCCGCTCACCAGCATTTTCCATGGGGGGGGGGGCTAGGTGCTATTTTGCCAAGTTAAATCGGAAGGAGGTTACATGATTGGTGGGGGGTATACATTGTTTGACCCCTTAAAAAGAAATCTGTTGTATTGACGTTTTCTTGCACGATTTCTCCAGCTAACGCTGTTAAGAAATGACGTGTGTAATGATTTGTTGTTAAAAGTTACGCTTTCTCAATTTTATAAGACGTTAACAAAAGATATCAGAGACTTTTAAGTTACATTTTGCCTAGACTCATGACTATATTAGAGATGAATAAATTTCACTGATTCTTGTGAGGGTAACTGGCCAGTAAAATAGAATAGACAGAGCGGGTGGAGTGGAAGGCGATATTATAGTGTTTGGACGAAAATTTAAGAACATAAACTGTAACCGAGCTTCCCATAAATTTATCTTTACTGACTTTAGTGTCCACGTACAACAATTTGAGCAGTTATTCGTGCAGAATGGAAATCTCACTTTTGGTATAGGCCTAGTTCTATGACAACGTACAAGTGTTCTGTTGTAGACTTTTTTCTCAAAAAGGGGGGGGGGGGGCACTTAATATCTAGGTGGGGGGGGGGGGGGGGGTGACGGACATTTTTTTTTCCGGGGGCGGACGGGCGGACACTGGTAAAATTATGTTTTCTATATAAATTCCATTTTAATCGGGAGGGGGGGGGGGGGGGGGGGGGGAGAAATGGTAGACTTTCTTGCGGGGCGGGGCGGGGGGGGGGGCAAAGCTCCCTTGAAGTGATGCCTGGAAGAAACTCTGTTGTTATCTAAAAAAATCTCCATTTTGTGTCAATGACACTGTCATCAGGTTTACTAGAGTCACCACATTTGTTAAGTTCTTTTAAGATATAATTTTTATTTTGTTTTGTTGAGGGTGGCGTTTCTTAAACATATGCCTAACACTTAATCCTCCTTTAATAGGTTTTGGACCAATAAGATAGTAGACCTATTGAAGACTTTTTTTTAGGAAAAGGATTAGGACAAAGTCGAGAAACTGAAATATTAATAATTTAAATATTAATAACTTAAATATTAATAAATTACTTTAACATCACAATGACCACAAGGCAACTATTGGACATTACAGATAAAATACAAATTTTATATACTAAAATTTATTCTGGAGTATATCAGCCAGCATGTAAATATATAATGATATAACATCTGACACAGAAATAATTAATCTAAAAAGATATAATTATGTAATCTCATTATGTAAAGTGATTAAAAAAGACTTGAATGTTTGAGCATAAATATGTACGGCTCTGTAAAAGGATACCTGTACAGGGCAGACAAAAAGTCTTCAACATGAATTATGATAAATTTGTTCAGATTAGCAATAGATCACATTAACAATAAACATAATTACAGTATGGACAATTTAAAGCAAAAGCTTTATGATGTGAATGCTGAATTTTTTTACACCTCATCTGCTACACTTAGGGAGAATGAAACAAAACAAAGTTTGTAAAGAATCATTCAGCATCTTAAAGCTCAATCCTGCATAATAACACATGACATTAAATCTTTCTGTCTTTATTTTGTTCACAAAAATAAAAAATTGTGGCAAAATATAGCCCATCTGCTGTATCACAAAAATAAGTAAGCTTCAGCATTAAAAAATGTAACACTAAAATAAAGTGGTATCAAAAATGTCTAAAACAAAATGAATAGGTCATGGAAAACACATTTATTTTCTATTTATCATTAGATAAATATTGTAAACAAAAATCCAGGGAAGAATATATTTTTGTAACATTTTTCTTTATATCACCCGTGAATAAGCCACTGGTTGTAGATAAAAGACTACAACTACCCAAAAGATTTTAACAAAGACATAGAATCTACATAGCCACTTATAATTTTTTTTTTTTAATTCTTAAAAAATGACGATAAAAAATTTGCCATTTTCTTCTTCACTTCTCTAGCCTGAAGCAAATGGGTAATGTTTTTAAATATATTGATACTTGACCTCTCTTGGTTTCTGTACAATGATAACCAAGAGGTTCATTATATTCGTGCCGGTGAGATTTGTATTAATCAGATTGCTACCATTATTAATCTTGTTAAATAAAGTAAAGGAGTCGTTGTTATTGAGGTGAGCCTTCATGTCCAGGGAGCTTCTCTCCACCTCAGCTAAAAAGTCCTGGTCAACAACAGCTCCAGCCATTTGAGTGACCCCATCATGGCCGTCGGAGTCAGCACACAGGAGGCACATATGGGGCTCAGCTACATTCAGCTTGTTGACCCGAAACTCTTCATCCATTTGTATAGCTGCGGACAAAGCTGTCTCCAGGCACCTGCCCCCCACCCCTGAACCATTCACCTGAACAACAGTCTCCCCACCTATGATTATACAGATGTCTTTGTTCATGTTGTGAGCCATGTCAACTGCATTAGCTATGTCATTAATCCACTTTTTCTTGATCCCTTTGCCAACTAGTTGCAGCTCCAAAGAAGTTAACTCTGAGTTAGGCTCTGAAGATGCTTTTCTGAAAACAGTTAATAACATAACTAATAAGAAATAAACTAATTATTATTTCTTTCGCACATATTTATTCATAAAAATATTAATAACAAATATTGACAGCATTAAAAATGGACATATAACACCTGAAATTTATTTAAGTACCTGTCATAGCAAATCATAACAAACTTGGCCAGTTTTGTGTACAATGCTCCCACGTCTCTGGCCACTCCAGTCAACTCAGTTGTTACAACCAAAGGTAGATAACCCAGTTCAGCTGCCCGACTTGCTGCAGCTTTACAAGCAATGGAGTTATCTCCCACAATAACATTCTGCACACCATCCAAGATCATGTCTTGTTGAGCTTTCTTTTGAGTGGATTTATGTGCAGCTTTAGCTTGAACCAAGTCCAGCTGTTTAACCTCTTTTTCCAAGAATTTTCTAACTCTTTCTGGTGCTTTATCTTTGATTCCAAGCCTGACCAAAATTTCAATGCAGTGGTGGGGGGTGGGCTGTGTAGGATAAGTAGGGCCACTAGCAATCAAATCCACTGGGTCTTCTTCTATAACAGAAGATAAAATCAAGGAAACCACCTAAAACAACAACAAAAGTTTTCTTTTAGTGGGGTGAAACACAAATTAATGTAAATACAATCATGTAGAACTCTCAGAGAAGATTTAATTTATGAAATAATGTAATTAGGTTAACAAGTAGAAATGGCTACCTTAGCAGGCTTGGCAGCCAGGGCAAGTCCTCCACCTTTAAGGACTTCAATATTTTTTCTGATGGTGTTAATCTCTTTCATAGTGGCTCCATTTCTTGACAACAGTCTGTTCATTTCATAGATGTCACTCAGTGTCATGGAGGGATGGGGTGAAGGGCAAAGTGTAGAACCTCCACCTAAATAAAAAATTTAGACCATCATCATCATATTCCTCATGTATTCTCAACAAAAAATGATGTTATTGTAGACAATTAAATAGACTGCAACCTACCAGACAACAGTACAATAAGTAAATCTGTTTCAGATAGATTTGAGACTAGCTGCTGGATAGCCTTGGCTGCAGCAAAGGAGTTTTCATCGACTTCATTATTAGCAGCTCCTTCAAATACTGTTATTTTGGAATTGGACGCTAAGCACATTTCACTACAATTTTAGATTTAAAAAAAAAGTGTATATAATTAAACTAATGGGTAATACTGTTCAAAAAATAAATATAATGGTTTTTTCTTAAGGATGTTACGTATAGCTGTGTGGCTATTTTTGACATGAAAAGTTCTAACCTATTACCTTTTATTAACAAATTCATATAGCATATTTGTTACATATTTACAATCAAACTTTAAAGATACCTGTATATTTAGTGACTACTGGGCTGAGTTATCTGCCTTGGTACCTAATTGTGTAGCCTCCCTTCTGCCTCTATCACATACAACAGTATCTTACATTGTTAAAATCTATGAAAGCCCAAATGATAAAAAGAATTGACTAACCTGTAGTTACTCATTTCCTTTTGCATCCCTAACGGTATGCTGATAATTCCGTCCACTAGCTGGCCACCAAGTATGTCCTCAACCGCTCTGGCCATCCCCAGGACAGCCTTGCCAAAACCCACCAGATGGACATTCTTGTTCAGTGGGTAGATCTTGTCCTTGACTTTGAGTACTCTTGTAACACTATTGTACTTTAGCACATTTTCTATCATTGCTCTGGGACAGACAGCACGAATAGCTGTCTTAAAAATGTCGACAGCATCAGGTTTGACATCAGACTGTAACCTTTGCTGCTCTGGTCGTAGCGCCGCTTCATACATGTGAACAGCTGAGAGTGAAATCTGCCTTGTATGAAGATGGTTGCCTGTTAAGTTTGAAGTCTGTACATTTACAGTGTCTCTCCAGTTGTTCTTACAATGACTTGTTCCCAATACATTGACATTACTCTCCAACCAAACGAATGGTTTTAGAGTGAAAATTGATCTGGACAGATGGGATCTATTGAACTTTGTTGTGGCAACTGCAACTTTGGCACACTTAATTAATGAAGACATCTTGGTTATAACTCACTGCTTAGCTGAAATGTTACGTTATTAAAATAAAATAATTAGTTAAAAACTGAAGAGGCATGCATAAAAAAAAGTAAGACAAGCTATACTTTTCCGAGTTCAAATTCACAAATTGGCTGAACAAACTAAGATAGTTGACTAAATAAGTAAAGGACTACAAAATGGTCGTTTGATCAGTTGAGCTCAAATTACTAATATTAGTTATTAGATAACTTAACTAATATTAAAATGAAGAAAAAAGTAAAATGTTATAAATAATAAAATATGATGGGCCTACTTCACTACTAATACTTGGTAAACATCTTTAATTTTAATCTATTTTATATTTTATAATGACTTACATTCTTACAGTGTAGCCTTAAATAATAGATTATATATATATATATATATATATATATATATATATATATATATATATATATATATACTGAGTAGGCAAGTGTGCTATATAGATCTACATTGCATTCATTGGCATATCATAATAATTAATATGATATCATTAGTGAAATTGTTACGTTTAAGATTTAACTTTTATAAACTATCCATTATTAGTTATTACTTATTACTTTTAGGCAACAGACACGCACATAATTTTTATTGATATAATTTGTTACAACAAACCGATCCTCTTATTTAATTAAAAAATAAAAACTATAATCCATATTTAAATTATTAATATTACGATTCTAATGTAAATCTTATTATCTCCTGATGCTAATGAAGTAGACGTAAGGGGTAGTCCTACAAACGGAAAGTCAAAATAAATTTTAGTTTACCTACATTTGTACACGTTCCTGGTTAACAGTGCAAGTATCTACGGGACTTGTATGAGGCCTACACACCCAAGCCGCATGCACCCTTATAAAAATATTTTGTTTCAATGTCAAATAAAAAGGACACAAGGTCGTCTGGAATACAATAGAGTGTCGCCTGCTTCTTTGATAGCGAACATTTCCACCCGTATGCAACATTTATAACGATGATTTAAACATTATTTGTAGGCTGACAGTTTCTTTTAAAATAAATGTCTAAAAATGTTAATCCAACAATTTAGGTCACACTGCCGACTCCCCCCCCCCCCCCCCCAAAAAAAAATGTACGATGCATTTATAATTTTATTTATGTAAGAAAATAGACAAGTTCTTCCCCCCCCCCTCACGAAGGACTATAACCTACCATAGACGGTACTTAATATTAGAAAACAGACAAGTTTCCCTACCCCCCCCCTACACAGCACCCATACATAGAACGCATGATACTGATATATGACATTGTGCGATGCGTGTTTGACAGTTTATTGTAAAGTAAGGTTAAAAAAGTTTTATTGTTCAGCAGAGGTTTAATGCAGTCGAATCCACTCAAACTTAGTGACGTCATGCTATCTCCACAACGAGGCAACAGTAGACTAACTCTGTCTTCAGTTGTTGGAGTGGAATGTAGTGCGTTTCCAACGTGAAGATAAGTTTTATTACAGCAGATCAAGTTTGCCCGTGTCAACTTGTCCATATAGAAAAGCCCCAAAATTTATTAAGACTTACTGGCCCCGTCTTCCCCTTGATATACTTTAAAATTCCTGGTCCATATCTACTATTAATATTAGACAAGGCCAACTTTGCAGTCTATTACTAATTAGTTAACTTAAACATTTTAATTCAAATGCCAACATCATTATTTACACACACAAACAACAAAATTAAATTTTTATTTTGATTGTTTATTTTCTGTTTTTTACATTTAAGTTTTGAGAAAAAAATCCTATTGGTACATTATATACACAAGATAAATTAAACTAAGCTATGGTTTAACAACAAGCATTTCAGGATAAATGCCATGTCACATTGTCAGTAACTAAAAATTAAATTTAGAAAAAATAAAAAATTCCAATAGTATTCTATTGTTATAGCTATGCAAATCTGCAAAATAAAATAAATAAAACTGAAGTTGTATTGCCAGGTATGAAATGAGTGCATCATGTTTTGTTAATGTACACACAATGCAAAGATTTAGTGCCAGCAGTTTCCCCTCTTTGGTGTGAATAACAAAGTTCATGGTCACCAACAATAAAGGGAATGGTACAGTACATGTACAATGTTCAAATGAGTCACGCATGATCTTGAAATAAAATACAGAACAAATGAAAATGATGTGATTGTTCTTTCTAAAGCAGAATTGGTGCTTTATATTTAATGTAGAATTATTTAATTGTCTTAGACTTGATATATAAGGTAACTGTAATGACATTTAGAGAACGCCAATTAGACTTATTACAGCGCTGCAAATTCTAGTGGAACCACCTTCATAGACCAAATTAGAGCTAATCTAACCCTAAGTGGAATGGTGTGGGAGGAAGAACAAATGATTTAATGCTATCAAAGTAAGGACAGTTGTGCGCATTTCATGATATGTATAGCTCCTGCTTAAATGCTAAGTCAACTATATAAAAGTAAAGTATTAACTTGAGCACATTAATCTACAGATAGAAACATTATATACCCTCATTCAAACATCAAATATTTGGTTTTCAAACTTACAATAAATACAGCACCCCCCCCCCCCCATGCAATCAAGTTATCCAAAACTTATAAATATGGTTATAATTTAAAAACAACAGATCTTCCCATTCAGTAAATGAACACGCAGAGAAAAAAAAAATTCAATAGCAACAAAAACATATATATTTTTTTTAATGATCGTACAACAGAAGACAAACCTAGCAGTTTGATTTCACTTAAATGACATATATATAACACAAGAAATGATGACACTGCTTGAAGGGGGTGAACCCAAAAATATTTCTGTTTTATAAATAAAACGTCATCAAAAGCCAATACTGTTCCATTAATTTAACTACAGAGTAAATAGTTGCATGTTTTAAAAAAAATGAGATTGAGTAAAAATGTGACAGAATCCAGCTAGATAGTACATGGTTGTCTAGTTGTTAATATACTGGCTTAGACACATGAAAGACAAAATGCCTTCTGTAAGAATTCTTACAAAACTTAGTTCACTTGTATGTGTAACAACTGTATCAATATCATTGTGCAGCTGAATTGTTTCTTAAACCAGCAAGAAAGTTGTATTTTTGTATATAGAACAGAAAAGCGAGGTAAGTTAAAAATAAATGTAGAAAAGTATTCCAAAATCAACCAATAGCCAATGGTTTGTACCAGTAGTAGCAGGTCATATCACATATTATGCTCTCCGTAACAATTGTACATAAAATCTTGACATAAATTTACAGAAGAGAGAAGCAATAGCTGTTTAAACTGTCCCTGTATGCAAGTTTGTGCGAAGATGTTAAATCTGTTTAGATGTCAAAGCAAATAATTGACGCACAAAAAGAGCCAATCAAGTTTGTCCACTGGATCACATGATGAGGTTAGGCTACTACTCGTGGTTGGGTACAGTCTGTAGGGCCTCACAAGTGGAGCGAGATCTGGTTACATTCTAGGAGAATAATTTTAAAAATATTTAGCACACTCAACTTATCTTAGAATCCTGACACTATTTATCTTTTGGAACAATTGTATATCTTAATTTTAACACTCTAAACCCGACCACTTTATATCTTAACTCACCAAATACCAAATAATTTTATTGTGAATACAAAAAAATCAAAGACTTCTCTCTAAAAACCAGTTACATTCAAAAAGTATATACATAATTCTAATCCACATAAGAAGAGACTTACAACCGGTCTGTCCCTGTGGGTATTGACAGCTGGGATATCAAGAGCAACAAACTCAACTCTACAACCGTAGGCTACTGGAGTCAGCTTGATGACTGTGTGAAGAGGCACTTTCAGATATGGAAGATTGTCTGCAAAAACAAATATTTTTACAATTAAAATAATAATACAAAATGAGAATTTTTAATCTATTTTTAAAAAACTGTACTAATTTTTCTAAAACGACTGTTGTTTCTGCAATGGAGGAAACAGATTTTTTATGTCCAGACCAAGCCAATTTTCCATACATAACTAACATTTGTGTACAAAATATGAGGATTTTTGTTCCCCTGAACAAAGTTAGCTGTATTATATTACTGCCCGTGCAGTCATATAATTTCATAACAATGATAAAATGAAATTTCCTGATTTCGGTATATTAAAAACTGGTAGTGGATTCAGTCCCCTAGAGCTTGGTTGAAGTGATTTTTGAGAAGTCCAAGAAGTAGCTGCCAGTAAGATGAAAGAGCAGCAGGACTTGCTCATGTCATTTCTACAACATTGGTTGTTATATTTAAACGCCTCCATCAACACAGGATGATCTACCATGGCCCTTTGTCAACTATTTAGTTAGGTTAATTCAAAAATAACCCCTGAACCCATAAATGCACTCAGAATTCATTGGTAGTAGCTAACTTTTCCCCCAATACCATATTATTGATCAAGACAATTAATTAGTTGCTTGCTCTTTGATCCAGTCAGGTAAAAATAAGGCCCAGATCAATTGTAATAAACAACTTATACATTGTTTAATCTTGCAAGCCCCCTTTCACCATATTCAATGGCTATGTTATCAAAATAGCAGTGGAGGAGACATAATGATGTGGATTTGCTAAGGGCGAAGTAGCACTCATCAGCTGGTTTATGTAGTGTCGATAAACAGTAGCAAAAAGGGTTGCATAATAAACAAGTACATACAGGTATGTCAAATTATTGACTAACATTATCCAATGTTTTATATGTGTTACATTATAACCTCCCATTGCAAAGTGTTTATCCCTGTAAAATTATTGCCATACACAAATGTTACTTTAACTTTTTTATTGTTATTACATTGTAACAAAGCAATATGAATGAGATGATTCACCCTTGAACTCTTACAAATGTGTTTTGTCTCTAGCTTCTAATTTTTATTGGCCAACAATATTTAATTTACAATAAATATAGTAAAAAATAGTTATTTCACTGTTTAAATAGCCAGAAAATGTATTCAATAAAAGTACAAAAAAAGTTTTAATTCTAGGCAACAGAAAAACCAAATAACCACAAAGGTGAATGGGCAGCAACTGAAGCAAGAAGGCAGGAACCAAGCAAACACAAAGAGCCTAGCTTAAGATATGATTATAAAAATGTCAGAAACAAAGTAATCAATTCACAAATATAAGCAGTGATGAGGAGCTAACTTTTGACAACAGTAATATTTGGAGAATTTGGTTAAGCTGTTTACGGTCAGATTTTCAAACACAGGCAACATATACATTTTCTTTATTCACACAGGAAAATTAAACCAACACCATCTAATAATGCAGTTATTTTGTCATTTTAAGGAGAATAGATTGAGGAATAGAAAATATGTAAGTATAATCAAACATGATTATATTATGGATGAACTAGTTTCATTTGAAAAACTATCTCACCTATTACAAATCTTTAAGTCATGCTTTTATTAGTCCAGATTTGTGAAATGTTTAAAAAAAATGCAAACAGCTGTTTATATATTTATCAGCTTAAAATCTATGAAAAAAAGTAGATACATTGTACAAGAACTGATAAGTGGTAAAAATAAACGGTCATTAAACATTTGAACTGCACGTGTTAAGATTAGTACCAGTTAAAAAAAAAATAGAAGAATAGGAAGTGTACTGGCAACCTAACTATATTAAGCCTTAGTTGCAGCTATTATTATCATGTAAAATGTAGAGATAAAATCAATAAGAGCCTCAGTTGAAGGTGTTATTGCAGTGTTATGTCAGCTATTATGTACAGTGGATGAAGGTTAAAGAAATAAATCAGCTTTTGTTGTGGATATTATTGCAATGATTAGATCAAGCATAAATCATAAGCAGCTACCCAACTAAACAGACTCACGCCCCAAACGTCTACAGGCTTGCTATTGTCAAACTAAAAACAAAAACTGTGACAAGGAAACAAACAAGGAAGACAGAAGTCCCACCTGAGCAGTGGAATTTGTTCCTGCAAGCACCCATTACCCGAGATTCGCAGCCGAACAACCGTCTCACTAGGGAATTCCAGATAAGGGCTTTCCTCTATAAATAGTAACATAACAAAACAATTGCATGTCCTGACTGTGTTTTACTCATTCAGACTTATTTTATAATTAATGTTTTTTTTTTAGAAAAGTGCTTGAAAACAAAAACCTGCAGTATATGCTCTAAAAATATAACATGGCTGAAACATGCTGATAACTAGAGGCCACACATTAAGCAATTAACAAATGATTGCACCATATGCAAATATAGGAAATTATCTACTTGCCTACGTGTCAAACTTAAAACCAGCTTAGCAAACATTTAAAAAATTCAGCCTTTACAAATTTAATAACTTCTACTTTATTAAATGTTAATACAAAATTTACATCCAGTCTTGAAAATCTAAGTAACATTCAAACAAAGCAAATAATTTACTATCCAAACCAACAAAATAAATAAATACATGAATGGATAATTATTTAACTGTTTTTATGTAACTAACGGAGTGAAATGTTACTTAGCACTGCTCAGGGAGACATCCATATATGTGACTTTTTATGGGCTGCAGTGAGATAACTCTCTATATAATGTTATCTTCATTAATGAACACAATTTAAAATTTGGCAAATCTTCAGACATGCATGTTATTCATGTTATTCTAGAGATTTCCACTTTTTAATTTTTAAAATAGATATAGATACACATTTACTTAAATTTTTCTTTTAAAACATCTATAAAAAGCTTAAGGCCTAAAAGATAAAAAAAAGAAACAGATGCTTTTAAAGCACTAATTGAAAATCAAGATTATATTTTCTTTATTAAAATGTTAGTACAGGTTATTTCTTGTTAGACTTCTTGTTAAGTTTTGTGCAAGCTATAGATAGCCACACAGAGAGGAAACTCAAAGATATAAAAAAAAAGTCCAGACTAACTCCACAACATAGAAAAAATGAGGAGCACTTCTAGATAAAACTTTCAAACAAAATGCAATACATTCAAACTTGTAGGTGTACATTGTTCAGGTAACTTTACACTTCAGAATACAACATCTCAAAAATATCTGTGAAAGGTTATTGAAAGATGGAAGGTAAACAGTTGCTATGACACCTTATGTGTAATCTATTGCTTATTTCTCACTCTCATTACGACAAACTGTTGTTGGTGTGTTATTTTTTCTTAACAGAAGGAAAAGCTTCTAATAACTATGAATAAATTAATACAAGGTGATATATAATTTTATGTAAGGTAGTATGTAAAAAAAAACAAAGTTTTAAGCTTAATTGATAACACAATGACAGCAAGTAATGCTATCAGTATAATTACATCTTTTAAATTTCTTTTACTATATATATATATATATATATATATATATATATATATATATATAAATATATAAATATATAAATATAAAACTATTTACAACATGTATTATTATTGTTATAATTTAATATTATATAAATTAGTTCGGGGGCTTACCATCATTTGATAGTTCAATTAGATGAAAGAGCTGATTTAAGTAATACAATTTGTAAATGTGATGTGCACTCAAAAAATGTAGCATAACTACAGCACAATGTTAATAAAAAATAAGAAGTGTTAAGCAATGCATTCTTTATTTTGTATATCCCAGCACATATTTCTTACTGATGCATTATAATTATGTATTTCACTTTCTAGTCGTTCAACTATGATAGTTTACTGTTTTATGAAGAAAAGGATTAACTGTTATGACAGTTTTTAGCTTTGTATCATTAAATTAAAACAATGTTTGCTAAAAGTTGTAATCATCTTTTAAAGTGATGGTGCTGAGTGAAAGTGAGCTGATATAGTACAGAGGAAAAAGATCAATCAAATGTAAGTTGACTACTGGTAATTATAGTAAATTTTCAAATAAACACATCTAGCAGTATAAGGAAACAAAAAATATTTCAAATTGAAACTTCTAGATAAAATGTGCTTATGCTTAAGCAAGGAGAAGGATCCAGGTGTCCACACAGAAGAGAGAAGTCATAGAAAAATTACCCCAACAACATTATTTAAACCAATCATTTTAACCAATCACTAATTAAAAAAATATATAATTACATAATACAGGTTTAAAAATGACTTCTCCCTTTGGAAAAAAAAATATTTCATGCAATTCAGGAAACAACAAAGTGGTACTCACCAGCGCTCTTATCTTGGAAATATGCTAACAGACAGCGTAGGACAGCCTGATGACATATAACCATCACGTTTTCTTGACGTTCAAGCTCCTAAAAAGAGTGTGATGGAATGCATCATTACACTTGAGACTAAAGATGTGTATGCTTAAAAATATTATAGGAAAATATAATCTACCAATTTTTTTTAAATATAAAAAAATTATCAACTATGAGTTTATTCAAGTAGTTTGTGTGGTGCTGCTATTGTCAAGTTTCATTTTGTTTAAAGACAGGTCCAGTAAGTTTGCCAAACTCTGTAGTAGGGCTAAGCTAATTAATAAGACACATGAGTTTGCATCAGCATTACACAAGCAAGATATGAAATACTTACAAGTATAACTGGTTCCAGGCGAGCTACCAAATCTTGATAAGACTAAAAAGAAAATTCAAAATGTATGTTTTAAAGTATTTATGCTGCATTTATTAAAACTAAATTTTTTTACAGTTGAAAATATAATAGAAAAATCAGAATATAGCTAAAGTGAGTAAATCACATTATTTTCAGACAGCTATTAACCACAAACAAAAATAGCAGAATTGAGTGGCTAAAGCTTAGTATTTTCTAAGGAGATGCTTGACTGCTACCTACAACTGATAAGTAGGCCTACTTAAACATACATAATATACTGTTATTTTATAGCAATACAAAATAGTTTAATTCCTTTACCAAAAAATAGTATTCAATGGTGAGGTAATAATTGTTTTACTTTTAAAGCTAAATTTTTTTGAATGTAGCTAGCAAGAAAATGACAACACGTACAGTCCATGCGAATGACAGCAAGTGAGATTTCAGAATGTGAACAACAAGTTTACTTGGATAATACAGAGTAGAGTGGAATTAGTGTCTAAGCAAAGTCAGAAAATAAATTATCCATAAGCATACATTTAAACTAATATCCACAAAAAGTGGAGACTTTTAAAACCTAATAAAAAATATTTCTTTTTACAATGCATTAAAAGATATTAGATAAAAAGAAATTTTTTAATAAAAGTGCTACTGCAGATTTATATATTACCCAAATATGGGATAGTTAGTTACTGAAAAAAGGATCACACTTCAGCCTCTTCATTGTTATTTTTCTTAGCTTAAAACATCCTATTTATTATTTAATACTGAAGATCATGGCAAATGTGGGTTAAGATTAGGTAGATTGGGCATTTTTTATTACATTTTACAAAGATTTTGGTAGAAAAAAGCTAATTTTCCCCAACAATTCTGTAAACATACTAAATATGCAAACATGACAATTTGATATACATAACAGTCCGAACAACCCATATATGGAACTAGTAGTTATTATTTTTGTTGCCTGAATTAAATGATTAAAATAGATGCTTATAAAAGGTCTGGTTATAATTTTTGGACACATGATATAACCCAATCTATCCATTTTTTTGCAAGCTAAAAGTTTAATTTGACAATCAAAGTAGCATTATAAGGGATCAATAAAAGGATGGGTACCTCCCCACTAGGGTATCTATAGTGGTACTTGTCTTGGTCTCTATCTGCAAAGTCCTGGGGGTATAACTCTTGAATTTCCTCATAAGTCATACCTTCACATATGCCCTGAAAGGAACAGCTTATTTAAACTAACCACATAATGCTGTGTACAGAAGAGATGAAAAAAAAAAAAAAACTGAAATACATCTGAAAATACATTGATAGAATTAATTTTTGTGTGTGCAAAAATACTTCATAATTTCTAATTTCAGTGACTTATTGTATTTCATTTTTATTTAAATAATGTAAATACTTGCTGCATTTTTATTAACTTAAATATTATGAACAATAATGTTAAAAATTAATAAAATTCTTAAAAATGTATATATATATATATATATTAATAAAAATAGCTTAAACTTCAAAGATCCTAAAGATACCATAATTTCATTAGTATGTAGGCCTATTAATCAAAGGAAAAGATAATAATGAACAGGTGCAGGGAGTAAGGAAAAACAGAGGGACATGATTAGTTAGAGCACTCACAAAGAAAAACACATCAAACAAGCAAGTGAATAGATGTACATAAAATATCTTATTGAAAACAGGAATAGAAAACTGAAGCAATAAAACACAAAATAACAAAACAAAAATAACAACATAAAATGTATCAATTTACAGCATCAATCTCATTTAGTGCTTTCCAGTGTTCCTTTGGTGCATCGATATGTCGAGCAGTTTGGATAGTGCGCTTCAATTCACTGGTCCAAACTTTTAAATTAGGGATGTTTTCATTCACTACAAACTTGGCCAGTTCTTCTGCATACTATACATCAGAAAAAAAATAATTTGAATGTAAATATTGTGCTTTGTGAAATATATTTAGCTTGTTATTTTAAATAATTAGTTGACACCAATGAAACTTACCTTTTCTCCTTGTTCACTTAGATCACTGTTTCCTCCAATACGCCCTTGCAAATTCATTAAACTTTCTCCATGCTGAAGAACAAAAAAAGGGGCAATTTTTTTCCACTAAATCATGCAGAAAATTGTATTACAATAAGAGCTTTTAAGTTCACGGGCATTAAAGCCAAATAAATCATGCAGAAATGTATATAATATATACAATTTTTTTATTGGGCTATAAAGCCAAAAAAATTTATAGTAGAAACAAAACTACATTTATAAGTATCTGAGGTGTTAGGCACTAGTAAGTAAAAAAAACTTACCCTAGTTAAATAAATAGTTCTTGGCAGCACATGTATATTCATTAAATAATAAACCACTCTACTCTGTAGATGACCTAAATAAGTAGATGACAAAAATAAATTTGGAATATATATGAAATATAATAGTAAATGAATTTAATGTACAACATTAAGAAAATATAAAAAACAAGCAACATTTTTGTTAAAACACGATCACATTTAAAACTAACCTGCTAATTTGTTAACGATAAACCTTTCCCCTTGGTTGAAGATCTGTATAAAAGAAATATCTTTGTCGTGTTTGTAGTCTAGAGCTTGATATTCTTGCTTGTAATGTTCAATTCTTTTCAAAAAGTCGTCTAAAGCTGTGTTCTTATCCATGCCTTCATAATCTGGGCTACAAACTTTTACTTCCTATTTATAAAATAAAAATAACACTGATAGGGCAGAAAATCAAGAAATAAATTAATAAAAAACTACAAAAATTTTAATCCTTGAGTTTCCAGTAAACTAAAAAACAACAACAAATAATCAGTTATGAATATCTACTCTTTATAAGACAAGCAGTAATTTGTCACTTACTAATATATTCGCTTCAATTATAGCTGGTTCATCACAAACAGACTCCACAAAAAACAGCTTGAAGTTCCGATCTACCGTAAACATTTTTACAAGAATTGCGCGCCGTGCCCTAGTTGTATTGGTTGCATCTACAACCTGGAGGAACAGAAAATAAGAATATAGCTCAGAGGTACAGACAGCAGGTTTTAAATCATAAATTAGGAGACCGGGACTAGAGCGATGACAACTTACAGCAACTTCACCTCCACCTTCTTCAAGATACTTGGCTGCATCCTCCATAGCGAGCATGGCGACATGGCTGGTCAGCGAAAAAGAGAAATGTATTATAAACCAGCTGATTTAGAGGCCATTTTAAAAATCTCTGGAATTTGTACACTCATTTTTATATTTATATTTTTATGATAAACTGATTTCAATCAAGATAGTTTTCTTATTTATAAAATAGTTTGGAATTATGTAACAATGAAAAAATAAGTAACTTTCTGTAACCTACAGTTAAATTTTTAAATACTGAGACGTCAAGCGCTTGTCACTTTTAGTCTACAGTAAATGATGCATAAAAGACAAAACAAGGTTAACACAGCAGGAAATAGTGTGTACTGCCATGAGTTACAATTTAAAAAAATTCAAAATGAGTAGAAAGAAACAATAGCAACCTCCTAAGTTCTTGCGCCTCTCTATTCTCTGGTTTAAAAAACTCATGGTTGCGATATTTATCAGTTTTAGCTCTGCGGTATTCACCAACATTGAAGGCTGAAATAAAAAATCCACTTTAGCTTTAACTGAGAGGCAACTCAACATCTTTTTTCTTTTAACAATTACCATGGTGAAGCTAGATTAAAAGTTATCCTAAATGACGAGGACATAATAATTGAAAATATTTATTAAAAATGTAATACAGCTAATTTTTACGAAAATATCACACTTTATGTTAAAGCTTTTAAGCATCAATGTATATATTTGTGAAGTTCACCTTTTGTAGTAACACCAATCCAATTAAGATATCTGGTCAACTTCTTGGATATGTAGGTTTTCCCTCTGGCTGGCAGGCCAACCATAACAATGACTGTGGGGGCGCGTAATACGTGCGGACATGATGCTGTTGTCAAACACAAAAATATCAAAATTATGTAAATGGAACAGAAAAGATGATTTGGAAAAAAATATTTTCAATTGGAAAATTAAATAATTTTTTCTTGTATTGAAATTTCTGTTTACTGAAAAAAAAATCTATATTTAGCTGATAATTTTTTTTAGTAAAAAAGTCATAACCATTATACAATGAATTACTTTTGTATGTTATTAATAAACAAAAATAAGCCAGGACAGCACACAGAAAGCAAGCAGCATTGATAACACAATGATGCATACATTCTTGGGCAACTTAAATAAACACATAAGCATGTCAGAGATTGTTTGCAACAACTTGTTAAAATAAGGACGCAAATAATTAATAACGTCTCAGGCTAAAGTGCCATATCAGGTTTAACTATAGTTGTATATTGCAAGTGATAACAATAGCAGATAGCTTAATTAAAAAATAAAATTCAACCAACAAGTAGAAATGTATACAGTTATATTCATTTATGCCTCATACCAATACACATCTAACGTGGGGAGTAAAAAAGTAGAAGAAAAGAATAGAATCAAAAATATACAGATAGTAGGCCCTATCCCAGCAAAAAGAAATAAAAGTATTTTATAGCAGAAAAAGAAAATTGCAATTTGAAAACCTTCATAGGCAAAACAGTTTTAAAATATTTGAAACTGAAAGAAATAAGCAGTCAGTCAAAGTTTAAAGTAGAATATGGCTGAAAGGAGTTTTTTTTTGGTAGAAAATAAAATTTCTAAGACATGCAATTAATAATTTAGGCCTACGCCTAATAAATAAAACAATAAATCATTTTAAAAAAACTGGCCTCTAAACTGTAGGCCCTTGTTGATCTACAAATTAGTACCCAGTAAAATGTTAGAACGACAATAAAAACAAAAACATTGCATACACCTAAACTTCTGAAACAACCAAAGCAAACCAAAGTATTTGTTTGGCCAACAATCGACACTGAAAGCTTGTATGTAGTGTACAGGCGTGCGTCCTTGTCTGGGCTCTAAACTTACATTTGGCTCCACAGATGCTACATTTCCTGATGGTCCAGCCGTAGCCAGACTTGGTGGTAGTTTCCTGGACATCCTTACTTCTGGGCATCCAGCCACTGAGTCGACGTCTCCTCTCTTTAGTCCCACTGGCCGCTTGACCGTCCGTAGTATCGCCGTCAGCGGCTTGACGTTTCTCACCTACCCCACTGGTGCTAGCGGCATCCTCAAATACTTCGACTGAATCTGACCGGTCCTTTGAATCTGAATGGTCGATAGACTCTGATCCTGGGTTAGACTGTTGCGACTCTGACATTTTACTCCACACGATTTCAGTCACATTGAAATCTTACATCAGGCAAGCATGCACGTAGCAGAATCCAACACGGGTCAAGGCCACGACACAACGCGCTAACCTCAGAGCGGTGATAAACAGTATCGTCCAAACAGTGTGTGACCCAGATTTGAAACTGTCAGGGGCGCGCGTTCAAATATTTACTGGATATTTTATGACCAGTTGCAGGACACACGAAGCTAGACACACGCTAACAGTGACTGCGCTATGTAGCTGAGGTAGTGCAACTGTCTACTCAACACTACCCATTTACTGAGTTAATGAAATACATTTCCTGAAACACAAACACCAATCCAATTACGCTATAAAAGGTTCTGCTCCCGGCGACCACTAAAATGCTATTTTTAGCTTGATTGCTAACGATGTCACGAAACACTACATAGTCATAGTGAGACAGAGCATTGATTTTTTTTTAAAAAGTAGTGATCGATTTGGAAGGGGGGGGGGGGGTGCTTAGTAAACAACTTATGAATAACGGCAATGGATTAAACAGTCACGTGATTCGAACTACCCACACTTGAATCCAACTTACAAAGTTAATCAATAACCTACAAACGATATAAAGGAAAGCTGTAAATGAATAATTTTAAAAACTAGTAGTTGTAAAAATAAAGTTCCCTGTTAACACGCCCATTAAATAACGAACGAGGCCTTGAAGTTGGCCGTGTTCCCCCACCAGGGCTAATACCATAACAAAAATACATACCCATCAATAGGGTTTGGAGATTTCCAGAGATATCCGACAACGAGGGATTAAATTGTTTACAAATCGAAAAGGTTTAATAATTTACAAAGAAAAACGCACATTAAAAAACAACATTCGAACACAAGCTTATACAAATATAAAATAACGAATTGGAATGCCGTAGGCACTAGTCTAGCAGGACCATCAATACACGCCGCCACTGCACCCACAAAGTGATCTGCACCTACAACACAGATGATCATGCTACAGCAGGAAGGTCAGCCCAAGAAGGTCGTCAGGGCTCTCGTAAACAGCTGATTCTGCCAACTAGAGATTCCAGATATTTTTAGAAACTCTCGGAGACTTGGTAAAAAAATTGTAAGACTAGATGAGTGTACGCATGCGCTAGACACTCAACGTTTGGCTACAGTGAAGTACACGCATCAGTTTAATGTCTTGATGAAGAGAAATTACAATTTACAATAGAAAATCAATCAATCATTCAATACCATCGACAAGTTCAACTTTGGGTACGCATACAAACAAAGCAATAAATTGCGAGAAAATTAATGTTTCAAAACAAAATAACCCGTTTTAAAATAACTACTTTAGTATTTAGGTCTAAGCAAAAGAAATTGTATTAGTACAATAAGTTCGAGCTTTGAGTTAGAATGCCCAAAAACACAAGGTTAAATCGAGCATTTGACATTTAAATTAGTTAAAAAATGACTTGAATTCTCTAGGACCCGTGAACAGATATAATTTTCTAGGACCCGTGAACAGATAGAATTCTTTAGGACCCGTGAACAGATAGAATGTCTTAACGCTAGAGCGTAGTTGCTAAGCACAACAATTGAATGTTTTTATTAAGAGATAAGAATAGAAGGGCACTCGGCAATGTAAGACGACACGTTAAGTAACAAAAAGACCAAGCAACACGTTCCAAGAAAAACTAGGTCAATCAATTCGGTTAACCCCCTTACTTGTTTTGGCTTTTTTTTTTAAGAGGGGAAGCAACAAAACAAACCCTACAAACATAAACTCAATGATGGATTAATTCCCATGATTTTTTATTTTACTCGCCGCAATAATTTTTTGCACATTATATTAAAACTTTTTTTTAGCACTAGACTACTTAAATTGATTTATTCAAACGTCATCTTTTTTTCCTGTAACATGTTTTTAAAAACTGCTATAATCATGGTATTAAAATACAACAACAGTTTTCACTAATCCAAGTAACAAATAATTTCACTGTCTTTGAATAAATAATTAACAAAAATGTGGAAACCTCAATCATTTTTAGAGCACACAGAACTTTACATTTTTTTCTTCAACCCAAAAAGATGTTCATGTAGGAGTCCCATTATGTCAATGAATGGGCTGCAAATGGGCTGCAAGTAGACCAAACCCCCAGAGATCGTATTAGTGTGTTTGGTCGCAGGATAAGTGGATAAACTTATTTTAAAAACAATGGTTTCATGTTGTGTGGTCCAAAATTCTTGATTTGGGACATGCTAAATGTCAAATCCTTCTTTGAGTCATTTCCCATTACACATGAGATACAAACGACTGGGGTTGATGATTATGGTGATGGTTAAGATCAGCATATGGGACAGATTTGCTTGAGGTATTGTTATAAGCGATGCCCATTCAAAGTATGAAAATGTTTTCTGTTCAAAGCTTTATCGCTAACTTGACGATCCTTTCATAATTTGAAGGCTAAACTCCTGGAGAGCAGTTATGTGTAGATACCCCCAACTGGCAGGCAGAGTGAACAGCTGATGATCATTCATGCATAACATTTCTCCTCAGCTATTTGATTTTGTGAGACTTTTGATAAATAACAATAACTTAATAACCAAAATGAAGATGTGTTAACATTTGTGTGAATGAAAACACTAACTATTCATCTACTATGTCCATTAAATGTTATTATAATGAAATATTTTTACAAGCAGTTATTACAATACATATCAACACCTAACTGGTATACACTCATATGTAACAAGACCAAACAGGGATATTACTCATTCACCAGAAAGCATAGTACTAAATAAAGGTGTACCACCTCCTTTGGCATCAGAAAGTTTTTAACAAGTTTAAAAATTTAAAAGAAAAAAAAACAGCAGCTGAAGCTTGATGGAAATTTAAAACTGAACAGTATTTAAATGTGCTGTCATTTCTAAATACATCATAACAAGGTATCATATCAAGGTGTCATCTTTTAAATGCTAAGTGTCAACCAATAGAAATAATCTGACCAATATAAAAAAAAGCTTATCTAATGTAGAAATGTAGTTAAAAACTTCAACCAGATGCCAATCTTTTAAAAAGGGGTGGGGGAAGGGAGGAAAAGAGGGCTATAGATAAAAAGCAGGGAGTCAGGTGTAAACATCATGCAGACAACATTGAGGGTGTTAAAACACTGACTACAGACTACAACCACCAGCTTTGCATGCAACTGTACTAGCCAAATGTAGACAACCAAGAAACAACACTGGCCAGGTGCTACTTACTGTGGTGGTTATATACAGATGGCATGTTGAGCTTTCACTAATTACTTGCAGAGTTCACTCCCTGTCTTGTCAACACTTTTGTTATCTCCTACATGAAATGTGAGGGAGAGTTCTAATGACAAATCTAACAGACCACACTAAGTAAGGGATACTACCTGATAACAGTCACATATGTACACTTTATCTAGAACACAAATGATTCACATAGATGGAACATGCATCCTTCACTTCTGATTATCTTTCTAGCAACTTTCTCTTTCCTATACAATACCAAACACCCCCCCCCCCTCCCAATGAAATATAGCCTAGCCCAGAAGAAAGTAAACACAGTAACATAAAAGTCAACAGAACTTATCAAAAGGTTTCACGGTTTCACTTTCTAGTGGCTAACTGATTACCCCAATGAAAGACAAATCTTATCTCCATTTTCAAGGTGAGATTAAGCCAAAAGGTTATACGGTAGCCTAAACAAGCCATAAGTTAAATTGAAAACCACAATAGCAAGTCATTACTATGACAGCCTACACTAACAAGTAGAAAATTATTCTAACCAATCCTAACCAGTAACAAGGTGATATGATTATGATAACCTACAGTAACAGTAAGCTGGTGCGACAAGAGTAATCACAAGCCAACACCAAACACAAGCTACTGAACTATACGACCCTGCTACTGAGTGCAAGTCTGTAGCATCATGTAACACATACGTTTCTTTCAAATAACATAGATATATAGATGGTTCCTTTGACAGATCCACAGAACAACAGGGTAATAAAAAGTAACATATTTGTTTGTATTATTCATATACATTAAACAAACATCATAACTTTTACTACCAAAAATGTAAACAACAATACCAAACATTTTATCTAGTATTTCTAGGAAAAAAACAACAACAACCTTCCAGAAATGATCCTCAAGAATCGGGTACTTTCCTAAAAAATAATCAACTTTCTGGTACAGTGATCCTGTTATCTATGTTTGTAAACAAAGTAAAATATTAATGATACCTTAGAGCTTGCCCCTCAAACACATTTAACTTAACTACTCTCATATCCTGTTTCACAACTGTCAACAACAGCCAAAAAATAACATACTATGATGTTTAACTAACCAAAGAAACAAGATTTCAAAACACCATCTGATCTACATGAATGAAATGTAAACAGACTACTAGTAGGCAGTAGGCCTATTCACCTCAAATGTAAACAAACTACTGTGTAGGATATTCACCTCTGTACTACTCAAAATGTAAACAAACCATAAGTAATTTATTCCAAATGTCAACAATGGCTCACCTCACCTTGCTAAAAACTGACTTGGCCACATAAAGCAAGGGTAGACTGGTCTCCCAGTGACTCAGGTTTGACTGGTCCAATAGCCCAGGTTTAGTGTTGATATACCAATGTTATCACTGTAGTATCACTATCCTGACCTTTCCTGTCTGAGAAAGTCACCAGCCCCCACAGAAGCTTTTCCTCACTGAATGACACACAACAAACTTGCCACTAGTTCACATGGCAATCTGCCCTAACCTGGTGTACAAATGGAAGGTTGAACTCAGCCCATCATGTCTACACTGTACAACAAACCAAGCAGGGAGTCTCAAACGATCAAATGTGGATACACTAACAAATGTGTACACAGGCCTGAGATTGCTTGCTTAAGTTAATTCAGAATCAAATAAAAGCTGTAGACATTTTATTCACGTAAACCACTTTTTAACTCAATCCTATCTAAACATTAACTGTATACACAAAACGTAAACAGGGGTCATGGTTTGATTACTGAAGTACACACGTGTAAAAAGTTTGACCAACACAATTTTGTACGTGAGCCATTAAAAACTCTAGAGCAATACATGCACTGACACGGTTTTTGACCTGTACTCTTGTGCCAGACACAGGACAGTGCCAGAACGTGGGTGTACTGACGTGTGGCGGGGTCTATGACCTCAATCGATACACCACATGCCGACACTGCTCGGGTTTCAACGCTGGGCTGACGAGGGACAAGATAATATCTAAACAACGCTGAGACCTCCCCTACAATGTCCATTAACAACACAACCACACGGCCAGCATAGCAGCAGAGAAACAGTGAGCCCTGTGAGATAAGAATGTGGCAGCCACTAAAGTACAGCAGGAAAAAAACAGAGGTGACCTACAGCAGCGACAACACACGGTGTCACGTGACACGTGCCTGATGAAACTGGCGCTACACAGCTCTTGTTTACCAGTTGCATCACCGGCACTCACGGTACCTGGACATAACCGTGCGAAACAAAGCCCTGCCTAAAGCGGCCCAGGGCCTATCAGCACCTGACATTCATCACTCCACACTGATGCTAATTAGGCTCACCTCCGTGCTACCATTCAGTTTCGCTGACACCCAGACACGCAATAAAATATAACAGATGGTTCATTACCCCGCATACACATTAAGTGTGCAATTAAACTCATTAGTTTTTATCGTAAATTAATTCGTGGACAGATCAGCTGGTATATGCTTTACTTGTAACTGTCAGCAGTTTCTAAATCATAGGTGATCAAAATGGGAGAAGGGCCATCTTAAGCATAGTTACGAAGTATTACTAAAATATCGCGTTATAGTGATTATCTTATTATTAAAATAGCACACGTTATAGTGATTATGTTGTTGGCTACTCAAAAAGAACATTACATCAGGTTTTATAGTCTAAGACTATACT